AAACATAGAACTATACAATACATTGAAACATAGAACTATACAATACATTGAAACATAGAACTATACAATACATTGAAACATAGAACTATACAATACATTGAAACATAGAACTATACAATACACTGAAACATAGAACTATACAATACATTGAAACATAGAACTATACAATACGCTGAAACATAGAACTATACAATACATTGAAACATAGAACTATACAATACATTGAAACATAGAACTATACAATACATTGAAACATAGAACTATACAATACATTGAAACATAAATAATCTATGCGATACCTGCTTACACTGACACCTGTTGTAGACAGGCTCAAAGTGCTGCAAGTAAATTCATTTCTCAGAGTAGCCACATAACATTCTTCCCAAGGCCCTGGATGCAGCTGAGGCTCAGAGACTGATAAGAGATAGGCGGAAGACACAGACATGTGGGCAGGCCTACACACCCAAAAAAAAGGAGAGGAGTTGGTCAAAGTGTTAGAGCACAGAAAAGAATCATGTAGGGTTCTAATTACTTTTGGCCAGAGGTGCACTGCAGCATCCGAAATTCAAGAATTGATTTATGACAATGTCCGCCCATATGATGTGATTATCTATTAAGATGGATGGTTATGAGATGCAAAAGAAAAGTGCCTAAACTAATATACTACAATATCTAATTTGAGAATGCAAGGAGAGGTAGTCAAAGTAGCTTTTTGCTGGCCACCTGCACACACAAGTAGTGATTGTAACAGACTCGCAAAGCATGGTAAGATAGGCTGAGAATGGTATACTCTGAGTGGCTAGCATCGCTTCTGGGGTCACTGACTATTAGAGCCCTTTAGATATTTTTTCCGGTGGCGCGGTGATTTATGTCACAGGCGTAAGGGGAAGTTAAGTCCAACTTGATGTGTATAAGGAGATACTCCGTACGACACTCGGGCGCCAGTCCTTTACTATCCTGGTTGTACAGAACCTCACGCAAGACCCCTACAGCACATCCTCGTCGTGCGCCATGGATAATGTCTCAAATGAGCATTAACAGAGCTGTCAGGGGATCTCGGAGTTCGGCGGCCCCCAGAGGTGATGTGTCCTTGTGGCTTTCATCAGCCCGCCCCCAAACGCTTGGGTGAAAAATGTTACCAAAACTCATTAGGAACATGAGTAGGTCTGCCAAACGTACAGCCAAAATTACAATCCTTGGTTAAAAGACTGCGGAGTGAAGAGAACATTGTTCACTGCACATCCTCTGTTAACCCTCAGTGTCGTCATCACCGCGCTGAGGTACACCACAACAGCAACCATCCATAGGCTGGCCATCCTTGTACATCCTCGGTTAACCCTCAGTGTTGTCGTCACCGCGCTGAGGTACACCACAACAGCAACCATCCATAGGCTGACCATTCATGTACATCCTCGGTTAACCCTCAGTGTCGTCGTCACCGCGCTGAGGTACACCACAACAGTAACCAACCATCGGATGGCCAAGCCTAATTGTCCGACAAAACTAGATCATACGGATCAAAATCTAACCATCAAAATTTGTATTGAACTGAAAAAGACCGAATGTCCACACCCAAAGACCCCACTCGCCCGAGTGTTGGGACAAAACTGATAACGATATGCCTGATGCAGGACGTAAAATTCTGTCGGGCTAACAGCTCGTCAAAGAAATTTTACGTGCGAGGAAAAAAAGAATGTACCTATCTGCGTGGTCACAAAAGTCCAAAACCCACGGGCTGCTCCCCGCTGACTTCCAGTAGGGCGCAGCCCCTGTCGAGCAGGAGGCCTGATACGGTTGTGAGGTTAAGCAGGCATGTGCAGGACGTGACGATTCCTTGGGTGAGCCCAGAACCAGAGCGCCATGTGCCGGCTCTGCATGCATGGAAACCTCCTTGGATGGCGGGGAATGCCCATGATCTGCCCCTGCCTTCCCTTGAGGGCTAACTGTTCCACAGGGGTCTGCCCCAAAGGGTACTCCGAGGGCAATACCTGCGGCGAAGGGGACAAAGTGGACACCACACAAATCAGGCAACGTCACGACCCACACAAAACTATGGCCACAGTCAACCTAGAAATAGGCCTGACGTCTTCCCTCGAAGTCTGAGTACAGCTGCCCATGAGGCAGGGAAATTAAAAACGGTTGTACACGCAAAAATCAGGTCCAGGTGAAAGCCAAAAGTCCATGCGGACGATTAACCGGGACCTTCCACTGGAATTCACAGCCGGTGATTGATAATAATAATAATTTTCTCCGGATCATGCAGTTGTGTTAGGAAGTGAACAGGTAAATAGATTTGCTGGTGCTGTACCTCTGGGTGGTTACTTGGATGTGTAACAAGCTAGATATGGTCAATGTCCTTTGGGAGTGAGTGAGGACTGCAGAAACTCGAATATATTGTTATAGTTTGAGGAGAATGGTGCTGCTGCCATCAGAACTGGAGCTCTTTGATGGCTGCTGAAAATAAGGATGTAGCCCCATAGGGGGATGTTCCGAGTGCTTTGACACTGGTTTTTGACTCCACCCACTTAACAGAAATTAAATATTTCTGCATTCTTAGTTACACCTTGTCCAACATGAACAAATAAAAATAATTGTTACTGATATTGAGAATCAGTATCATTTCATACCCAGGGATCCAGTAATAAATTTTGTAAGATGTAGGTACTGACTTTTCTTGTTGCACACTTGTTGTACGCACATCGTAGTCTTCCTCTTATACATTCTTTCTTGCGAGATTTGTACTTAATTTCAAATTCTTGCAATATTACACATGTTGTTTCATGTAACATCATATCTTTCATCATTTTTGATATATCAGTGGTCTGTAGAATGTCTGCCTTATCCGGTATGTGTTACTGCGATTGTCACTTTTGTTGCCAATTAATCAACTTGTTCATTTCCTCACACTATTGCATATTCCCAAAAAATATATCTATGTGAGTCCTTGTAATTATTTTTCTACCCTTTATCCACCTATGGAGCATAGGCCCTCAACCAACTCAGCCAAGTGATCCTATCCTATGCTGTTGAATGCAGCTCAGCCTGTGTCCTCCCCATCTTTTTAACTTCACTCTCTAGCTCCCTCCTGGGTGTGTTTTCACCTACTTTTATTTCTAAGCCTATATGGGTTCCAGTGTAAAGACATTCTAGTTATACTGTTCCCAGGTTTTTCTCATCATGTTTTCCTAGTTTATTCTCATTATTTGTGTCTTTTCCCTAGGGATTGTTAGACCTAACTGTTGTGATTTTACATCATGTATGTTTAGTTTATCTTGCATAGGATTTCTTTAATTTTGTTTTTTTCTTGTACAATGTGGCATCACAAAACATTCTCTCTTAGTTGACAAACCATTTTATTTTCTATCTGTGTATGTAGTTTAGTACTAGTTATATTTTAAAATTATGACCTCATTCTTGGTTTTTTTCCCCCTTCTGGTCTCTCCCATAGCCTTTCTCAGACATCTAATTTTCATAGTTATTAATTTTTCTATCTGTGGAGTTGTGACCAGGCCTTTTTTCTAACAAAATAAGTGCCGTACTCATCACAAATTGTCTAAAATTAATTGCTGATCTGCACCATGCATACATTACAGCAGTGTTAAAACCATCATCATCTATTAGGTCCTTTGCAGAACATCACTCTCGTCATAGTCAGCCTGAAAGAAACTAGGTCTTTCACCGGCTTTCCCACCTCGTATACTTTTATATCCTAGGAGTTACTTATACCCTGTGCTCATCTTTATGTTGGTGGGCCTCTGTTACTCCTTCCTGTACCATGCCTTCTGTTGTTATTTTTTCCAGTCCATTAAGGCGCTTGATATGGCCAGAATATTTTACCTTCCTAGACAAGATGCTGTTTATTAGTCAATCTTCCTTGATCAGATCTTTTAAAATTTCAGTATTTCTTTTCTTCTTTGTCCATGGTGTTCTAAAAATGTTTTTATAGCATTTCAGCACCTATTTACTTCCCTAACTCTTTCAGTCCCAAGGAACACATTATACGTTCATAGGGTACGACCCAGAAGCCCAGCGAATGCAAGTTGCGCTGATTTTACATTTCTCTTGACCATCCCTTGGGCTTCTGATGTTAAACCCCTTGGACTCAAAGAGTTAAGTACGGGGAGACAGTCCAAGACTGACATCCATTTGTTGCCACAGTGAATTGTATCCTCTCAAACTGTAACTTCCATTTCCTTGCTGATCAGACATCATTATCAGTTCTCGTTATGCCTAGTGGCACATGAGGCTTCAGAGAGGACTTTCCATGCTTTCCTGTCCTGTCCTCTGCAATCTTCAGTGCAATTTTCCATGTCAAAGATGCCGCACTCAGGTCATTTTCCATAGCAGACTTGTTTTCCCATCATGGGCTTCCTTTGGGCTTTCACCCATGTTGTTCATGCTGACAGAGGGACTCTGTCCCAAGACCTCTGGACATTTAGAGCACTTATTTCCTCTCAAAGTTTCAAAAACGTTCTAGATTTTTTACAGGGCAGAGCTGTCAACACTGCGCCCAACCCCCGAGCCTGGAGGCCTGGGAGGCCATCTTTAGTCTGGCCTCTCACCAATGACCTGTCCGGCTTGGGTGACCCTGCCAGGAACATACGTTCCCGCCGGCATAGCTCACTAGATCATTGAGGCTCTCAAGCTCCCATAACCATAAATTTGTAATGCTGTTTAATTATTGTGTGATTATGGCTATCCTCCTTTTGACTTCTGTTGAACAATCTCCATTGTTGTTTATTGTGGAGTCTTTGTGATATTTTCCCTTTCTTCACCATTTATTGTTATTTTTGGGTGACAGCCAGTTTTGTCTGTGGACATTATTTGTTTCTTTAAATTCAAGAACAGGTTTTAATCTTCACTGTGTTTTTGGACAGAAGTGATTAAATATTCTGTTCCCTTTACATCTTTCGAAAGGAGGACTGTGTCATCTACATAGGGAAGTTCTGAAATAGGATTGCCACCAATTGCTAAAAATGATGCCTACAAAGGTGCTGGTACTATGTACCATCACTTACCACTAGAAAAAATCCCTGGTTGTGAGTGAATATATTTGATACTGGTATTTTGTGGTGGGTATGAAATTGCTTCATATGATATGCTGTGTCTTTGTGTCAGTTAACTGAGACTGTCTTATGTTGTAAGAGAGAGGCTGTCTGTCTCACTTCTTGCTCTCAAATTAATCACTCACATTTTATGATCCTAAAAATGAACAGGTATCAAATCGGGACCTTCTCCATGCTGTAGCAGGAGTGTATGATATTTCTCTACCTGACATGGACACAGAAACTATATATTCCACTGTTTGTGCACGATGGTCTCGTACTATCGTTCTAGTACAAGATATCAAGGGTAGGCATTTGTAACTCCTTCTGTACCAGACATTTGTTATTTTAACTGAGTTAGTAAAGTGACGTGCTTATCTATACAGATGGCTCTATGTTGAGAGGTAGACAAAGTGCCTGGGTTCGTAGCAAAAGGGAATGAAAGTCGCTTAGCACAACCAAGCATGGCTTATGATATCACGTCTAGTTTGAGAATGATGGCGGAGGCAGTCACTCCTTTCTTCCACTGGATAGAGAATCAGCTGTACTACACACATGTCATAACTGTAACTCACACACAGAGTATGTTGAGAAAGATGGAGATAGGCATGCTCAGTGCAGAGTGGAAGCAAAGCTTCAGAGGTTCGGTTAGTTAGCATCCTCTGGATATTTCCTTCAGGTTATGCTAGTGTTTTGGGAAGTTAGCAGGCAGATAGACTGGCTGGTACTCAACCACTTGGTGATAAATTGATGTATTATAAACTAGATTTTGTGGGTGCCCTTTGGGAGTAAGTGAACAGTGCAAAGGCACAAATAGATCATTACAGTCTGAGGAGAATAGCCTTGCTCAGAGTTACAAGATGGGGACTGAGCACTTGTGGGAGTGTCCCGAGTGCTGTGATGTCGATTCTTAAATCAACATTTAGCTGAGTAAATTTGAAGCATATATAACATGAAGCTAATGAATGTTAGTTGGAAAATGCTAGGCAGAGGGGGTGGTGTAAAAAAAAAGAGGGGGGGGGGGGGTTTGGGAGGGGAGACCATTGAGAATGCAATATATTTCTAATCTCTACAAAAGTATAAATTTTTTTAAAGAGGAATGAATGTACCCTTTGAATCTGATGATATGTTTTTGTTTCATACTATTAGAGCTAGTATGAAAAGAGAATTCAGCAGGTGTTACAAAGACACAATTGTACCCACAAAATCTTCACTTACCATGGATTTGCAACCACAATTGCAGCGAATATCAATATTTAAGAATAACACTTCAAACTTTGTTTGATTTCCTAACAAATTCAAATGATATGTTCATTATGAAACGTTTATAGTTTAGTTTATCACTCTAGGTTCGCATAGAGTGCTGATCAATGTTTGAAAGAAAATATTTGGCAGAGATTTGGATCTATAGGCCCTAAACACACAAAATATTAACCTTGTAGTTAAATACAGACTGCAGCTGCAATGAGTTCAGTGCACATTAGTTTGAGTATGGTACAGCCTAAAACTAGCCCTTTTGATGCAGATGAGGATGATTATCATATCCTTCGGAAATGAGATGCTTACTCTCAGATTAACCTCATCAGAATGAACAGCTGACCGCTCAGCTGCCGCTTGTGTAAATTTACTGTCTGAATCACTTTCCAAAAAATGTAAATTTTTCATTATTAGAAAACGTGAATGAAAGAATTTCAGAGCTTCAGCCACAGAAAGGAGAATTTTTCGGTCTTTGCTTGTGCTTAGAGCATTGGTAACCATGGCCGCTTGAACTGGAAACCAGAAAATGCACTGTCTGAAAGTCACGCTAGCAATGAAATAGGATCAGTTTGCGCCAACATATGTGCGAACATAGACTTTTTTACAAAGAAATTCGTTAGAGTAACCTTCCCTGAATACTTTAATGGTAATTCTGAACATTAGAATCAAATACGGAGCGCATGCAAATCAGCATGTACGGAAAACACTATTGATGCAGACAGTGTTATTTGGGCAAATCAGAACTTCTCAGAACAACAAATGAAGTAGTTTGGACACCTAACAAGAATTCCCTGGTACTATCTGCCACAGCGAGCCACACTAAAATGTTGCAAAGGGTATAGAGCGAGCGGAAGACCTCGGAAAAGATTGAGTGATGGTATTCAGAACAGCCTTACAGAAATGAACATCTGTCTAAATAGTGCTCTTGACAGAGCTCATCAACGAACGTTATACATCTCCCCCCGACACTTCAATGAGGTACAAGCTGGAAGAAAAGAAGAAGAACTTCTCAGTCAACACACACAGTGATGCTGGAGCCTCAAAGAGTTAAGAAAAACACTTGGTTAACACAAACACAGTTTTGGTCTCTGCAGGGATTAATTAATCTGAGTTCCCATTTAGCATTTTTTTTTTAAACACAAACTCTTGATTTTTTAGTGTTTTGAAATTCATGTTGATGCAGCTTCATTTTATCTACTTGTCTTTCTCTAGATGCAGTTGATGACACAACTGAGCGAAATATCAAACGAAGAAGCAGAAAAGACAAGAATAAGGACAAAGACAAGGACAAGGAAAGTGTAGGAGAGGAGAGAAACTGGAAGAGAAAAGTTGATGAGACGAACGATACCTACAGAGAGGAGGAAGTGACAGACAGATTTAGTGCTTTTGTTGACATATTTAGTGACACAGATGAGGAAAGTGAGGAAGAAGAGAATGAGTTGGAGGGAGAGGAAAGGTGTGGGCTTTTTTTTTAAACTGTTACTAATCCACAAACGTCAAATCTTCAGCCTCCTTCTCCTTATCTTTCTCTCCTCCTCCTTATCCTTCTTTCCTCCTCCATATCCTTTACTCCTCATCTTTATCCTTCTGTCCTTATCCTTTTCTCCTCCTCCTCTTTATCATATCTCCTTATCCCTTTCTCCGCCTCCTTATCCTTCTCTCCTCCTCTTTATGCATCTATCCTCCTCATTTTCCTTTTCTTCTTATCCCTGTCTTCTCCTCCTTATCCTTCTCTCTTTATCCTTCTCACCTCCTCTTTGTCTTTTTCTCTTTATCATTCTCTTCTTCTCCTTATCTTCCCCTCCTTACCCTTTGTCATTTGTTTTTGTAAGCTGATGTAGGTAATTATAAACCTCCACAACAGTTGCCCTCTTGTCTTTCTTTTTCCTTTTAGATTAATTCACTGACAGTTGGGTATGCTTTATTGCTGTAAAGTCTTGAATATTTTCTAGCTTTTATATTTATCCTTTTTTCTGTCAACTGTCTTTGTCAATTAGACTTACTGCTCTTCTAGCAAGCATGTTGTAAAAGTCAACTAATTAGAAATGTTCTTTGCAAATTGCAGAGGAGACAAGGAACCAACAATCTGCACACATATTTGCCAGATCTGTAAAATTGATATGTATGCATAACTCAAGTCGTAAAACAAAAGTAGAGTTTACAGCTGCCCGAATTTACAGCTGGTGAATATGAAGAAGAAGAAGCAGACATTCTAAACTCTTACCTTCAGTAACAGCCCCCCCTCCCCCCGACCATAAAATATTTATAAATAACTAGTCAGCTAAATTTTGTTTAGTGTTTATGTCTACATCTGTATCATGTCTATCACACCACACCTGTATCATGTTTAATCTAGCACACCACATCTGTATCATGTCTAGGCTAGAACACTACATCTGCATCATGTCTACCACACCAAACCTACCTAATGTCTAATCTAGCAAAACACATTTGTATCATGTCTATCACACCACACTTGTATCATGTTTAATCTATTACACCACATCTATCTATCTCTATTGTCTTCTTCACTTTTACCGGGTTGCAGCACAGTGTCGTGGTTTAAAATATTTCTTTTGTGCCTCTCACGTGATTTAAGTGACAGTTTTCTGGATCTTCTGGCCGTATTCAGCTACTCCATCTATCCATTTTTTCCTGGGTCTTCCTCCAGCCTTTCTTCCCGATGTTCTACTGTAAAAGGCCTTATAGGCAATCTGATCCGGTTGCATTCTTACTAAATGGCCAGCCACTTCATTCTCTGTCTTTCAATATGTTTCATGCATGCTCTTGTTCCAACTTTGTCTCTAATTATGACGTTTGTGACTCTGTCTCTTCGTGTAATGTTGGTGACTCTTCGGAGACATCGCATTTCACACGTAGTTATTTTTTGCATATGTGATTTGTTCATTGTCCACGTTTAGCACTGATAACATAACGTAGGGATGAAAATGCTGTTGATCATCCGTTGTTTGGTTGGTAACGAGATCTTTGGATGACGAAGAAGTGGGGCCAGTTGGTAGTTGACTGCATTGGCTTTTTGAACTCTAGTCTGTATCTCTTTATCGAGTCTTCCATCTTCTGTAAATATGCATCCTAAGTACTTGAATTCTTGAACTTGTTCTAATTGTATGTCATTGATCTTTATGTTTACATTACTGTGTTTCTTTCCTATGGTCATTACTTCAGTTTTTGAGGTGTTTATTTTCATGTCAAATTTTGTACAGTTAGTGAGCAATGAATCAACATGTTATTGTAGTTTTTGTTCTTCTTCTTGTAACAAACATTGGTCATCTGCAAAGAGTAGTTCATTTATAATATCTGTGTTTTGGTTTGACTCCTGTGCAATTTTATCCATATATGTGATGAAGAGTAGGGGTGATAGGACACATCCTTGTCGTACTCCTGATGTAATGGGGAACCAGTCTGTCATACCTTCCGTTGTTCTTACAGCGCTCTGGCTATTTTGATAGAGCTATTATGTTTCCCAATAATTGACCCGGTACACTATATTCTTCAAGAATGTTCCATAGTTTATTTCTGTTAACCCTGTCAAAAGCCTTCTCTTGATCAATGAATAAAAGATTCTGGTGTTTATTATATTCGATTGTCTGTTCACAAATTTGCCGAAGAGTAAATATTGCCTCAGTGCAGCTCTTTCCTTTTCTAAGTCCAAACTGATTGTTACTTAATTGAGGTTCTAATATCACCCTCGCTCTTCGTTCTAATATTTTTGCAAACATCTTTTCTACATGGCTTTGTAAAGAGATACCTCTGTATGTTTCACAATCTTGTTTATCACCTTTCTTCTTCCATAAGGGAACTGTAATTGCTCTCTGCCAGTCAATGGGAACTTTCATTTCCTCCCAGGCCATATTGAATATTCTTGTCTGCCATTTTACTGCTGTTGCCTTACATGCAAGTATTATGTCTGTTGTAATATCATCTGTTCCGGCCGCATTGTTTCTTTTGCTTTGCTCTAGGATCTTTTCAACTTCAGATTCTAATATATTAGGTTCTTGTTCTTGTCCAAATTTTTTTTTATTAGACACTGGTTCTTGTGGTCCACTATTCAGTAATTCAGAAAAATATTCTTGCCATCTTCTTTTCTATATCATGTCTAATCTAGCACACCACATTTGTATCATGTCTAGTCTAGAACACTACATCTGCATCATGTCTATCACACCACACTTGTATCATCTTTAATCTAGCACACCACATCTGTATCATGTCTCGTTTAGCACACTACATCTATATCATGTCTAATCTAGCACACTACATTTGTATCATGTCTAGTCTAGAACACTACATCTGCATCATGTCTACCACACCAAACCTACATAATGTTTAATCTAGCAAAACATGTCTGTATCATGTCTAGTTTAGCACAAAACATCTGTATTATGTCTAATCTATTACATCATATTTGTATCATGTCTAGTCTAGCACACCATATGTATCATGTCTAGTCTAGCACACCACATCTATATCATGTCTAGTCTAGCACACCACACTTCTGTATCATGTCTAGTCTAGCACATTACATCTGTATTGTGTTTAATCTAGTACACCCCATATGTATAATGTCTAGTCTTATCACACCACACATCTGTATCATGTCTCATCTAGCACATCACATCTGTATCATGTCTAGTCTAGCACACCACATCTAGTTCATATCTAGTCTATCATACCACATCTGTATCATGTGTATTCTAGCACACCACATCTGTATCATGTCTAGTTTAGCACACAGCATCTGTATCATATCTAGCCTGGCACACTGCATCTTTATTGTCTAGTCTAACACACTACATCTGTATTATGTCTAGTCTAACACACCACATGTGCATTATGGCTAGTCTGTCACGCCACATCTGTGAGAAGTCTAGTTTAACAAATCAGATCTCTATGTTATTTAATGTTTCACACAATTTTATTGTCAAGGATAATCTAGCCATCACATCAATGCCTAGTCTAGTGCTATTATGTCTAGTCAACATCTGTATCATGGCTAGTCTATCACATCTCATCTGTACCATTTTGTGTGTGTCAGACACACCACATTTGAATCATATGTAATCTAGAACACCACATCTGTATCATATCTAGTCTAGTACTTTAAGCCGTATAATGTCTAGCCTCGTACATGCTACTACAAATCATCTAGTCTACATCAAGTCTTTATTATTTCTCATCAAGAACACTAAATTTCTAACTTATCTACTCTATTAAATCACATTTGTAACCATAAATAATGTAAATTACTATATTATCTGGTCTAGTTTTTGTTTTTGTTTCACCTGTTTACCATCTAATTTAACATTGTGCCAGTATTTTGCCATTTTTTCCCCATTAGAGGATAGGCCCTCAACCAACTCATGCCCTGTCATCATATCTTTTCTGTGCACTGCAGCTCACCCCATGTTCTCCCTATCTTTTTAACTTCACTCTCTAGTTCCTTCTCCACATGTTTTGTTGTTGTTGTTGTTGTTGTCTGCCTTGTTTCTTTGATCCTGTAGGTTTCAGTGTAAAAAAAAAAAAAACATTCTAGTGACATTTTTTCTTCAGGCCTTCTCAACAAGTCTTCTGCCTAAGTCATTCTCTTTTTCTTTTCCTTTCTTCTTCTTCTTTCGTTCGCCTGAAATAATTTGTCTATATCAGCAATTTTGTCTCTTGTATAAATTTCACTGTTGTTGTTAATTCATTCAGTGGTCGATAGAGTTTACATTCCACTGTTGTTCTTTCTGGCCAAAAGGTTTGCCTTAATGTGTCAAATTCGGTGCAGTCCTGGAGTACATGCTCTGCTGTCTAGGGCACCTTTCCACAGGTGCACATGGCTGATACTCCTATCTTGAATTTTGTGTACATGTGGTTACGTAATCGGTTGTGCCCTGTTCTGAGGCGGAGGATAATGACTTGTTCTGATTTGATCATAAAAAAATAGTTGTGCTGGGGCTGGTGGTTTCCTGATTGATTTAATGATTCTTTTCTTTTGGTGGTATGTGACTGGTACATCCGGCTGCACTTTTGTCGCACCTTTTCCTGCCAGTTGATCAGCTTTCTCATTTCCAGGCACTCCACAATGAGACGGTATCCACTGCATTACGACTCTTCGCTGAGCGCTGAGTTGTGTCAGCAGTGTTTGCAATTCTGGTAGTTTCCTAGACTGGAGTGCTTCAAGTACGGATTTTGCATCTGTCAGCATTACCACATACTGTGAGCCAAGATTGGTATTTAGCAGTTTCTCTGTTGCTATCTTGATAACTTGAGTTTCTGCTTCATAGTTATGGCAGTACTTCCCGGTTCAAACGCTGGACCTATCCCTAGTACCATCTGGGAATTCGATGTACACTCCAGCACCACCATTTCTAACTGCACTTTCTGCGGTCCCATCTGTATAGACTCTGACCCATTGTTCATGTGGGTATTCTTCATCAATATAACTGAGGGTGGCCATTCTGCATTGTACACTATCTTGTTCTTTTTTGTCAAATATTCCTTTCACATTTGTCTGGATTTGTACTGTTAGTTTGTATTTCTCTCTCCATGGGGTTTGTTCTGGAATACTGTTAAGTGGACAACCAATTTCTGGAAGGTCAGCAGTTTGTCTACATATTCTTTTGTTTGATATATTAAGCTGCTTCTTTTTAACTGTCCCAAGGCTAGGTTTTGAAATCTATTTTTCATGGGGTGATCTGGCATACTGAGGAACTTTTCAGCTTGTATTTGCAACTTTGTATCTCTGCGTTCTCTCAGTGCCTGTGTTTTCCCAGCTTTCTCCATTTCTAATATGGGGGTTGATTTCATCCCTCCTGTGATGACTCTGAGTGCTTGATTTTTCTTTTCTTTTGTTCACTGGAATTTGTTTAGTTCTCTCCCAAAGCTCCACATTAGCTATTCGATCATACCATTTAATTCCATCTATTCAGCTCAGACGGCAGTTTATTAATGCTTAGAGTTTATAAGTTATCAGTTTGGTTCTCCATGTTTCAGCCCAATACAGCAGTACTGATTTAGTATCAGTTTTGATTTCTTTTGACTTCTACAGATTTCCTAATGCTATGAAAACTCTTTTTGCCTTTTGCCTTTAGATTTTAATGTCACTCTCAGGCCTATCATCCTTACCTACATGACTGCCTAAATAAGTGTGACATGACTCCAGATTTTGGTGTGGGATACCATAAAGAGAAATTGGATTACTGTTTGTCTGAAATATTGTGTTAACCATATCATATTTTATGGACCAGTCAGCACTCAAGCAGTGATGTGGCCACATTGCACCAGCCGCCTTTATTTCCCCATGACATTTTCTGGTACCTGTCTTAAGCTTTCAGCTGAGGTCCATTTGAAAAATATGCCTCACTGGCAGTTTGAACTTATGACCATTGATCCTGCAGGCAAATGTACCTGCCACTTTAAACATTTTTGCATTATATGTGTATTTCACATCTCTACTCCATGCTAAATGAGGAAATATTTTAAAGGAAAGAATAAAGAAAGTACTTGTGCATCTAACACATTCTTCTTCTTCTTCAGCATTCCGAGCCCTTGATGTTCATTGCTGCAGATATTACCTGACTCCATTCATCTCTCTGGTTGGCCTTTTCTTTCCAGTTGGTGACACCAAGTGTTTGCAGGTCTGCCTGGACATTATCTTTCTATCATCTTCTTGGTCTGCCTCGTTGTCTACGACCATTTATCTCCCTTGTGTGGCCAGTTTTTACTTCTCTGTCATCTGACATTCTTTCAAAATTCCCCAACCCTTTCAGTCTATTAGCTCTCATGAAGCCAGTGATCAAAGTTGATTTAAACAGGATTATGGATTTTGTTGTTGCTTCTCACTCTCCATTCCCGGCTGTTGGCATCTTTTTTGGGTCCAAAGATTTATCGCATCTAACACATTAGTTTTAAAAAATATTGGTATGAAGCTTGGCTTATATTTTTATAGACCACCTGGCACTCGATGGGTGATGCGGTCAACATCACACCAACTTTACTTTCATGGATATTTCCTGGTAACTATATTAGGCTGAGGCAAATCCAGATAACGAAAATCTGCCCTATGTGGGTTCAAACACAAGACTTTTGGGCTGTTAAAGAAGTGTATAACCACCGTGCTGCTTTGGTTTCTATTAAACACATTTATGCTCACAAATGAGTTTATTTTCAGTGAGGATGAAGATTTCACAAAAGGAATCAGTACCTTTCTGGCTGATGCAACTCGGCGGCAGAAGCAACGAGAAGCCTGTGATGGCATTATTGCTCCATCAATGATTGGTATTGAAAATAGACTGCTTGCATGTGCTACATTTGAGAAGAAATATGTGTAAGTAGTTGCTGTCTTGAGTGCTTCCATGTGGAACTGAAGTTTTTGCTTGTATGTTCCAGGGCAGCATTTCAGAGGGGGGTACTGACCCACAGCCCCTCTTACAATCATGTCATGTAAGGCAGTTAATTAGGGGTGTTTTCTTTAAAGTTGGGGTTGGTCTGCGTTAGAGGCAAGAAGCCAACAGTGTACACACAAATATGCCAGAACTGTAAAAACATTGTGCATGCAAAACTTAAGGTCTGGGACAAAACTAAAGCCCAGAATTAAATTAATAACCAGAACTTTTTACCAGATTTTACAGCCGGTAAATGCTAAGAATAAGAACAAGTATTCAAGAGGTTAAAGAAAGAATATCTCAGACAAAAACAGCATTTCACAAAACAAAGAATATTTTATGCTTCATTGTATTAAAGATGTTAACTGTAGAATAGCATAAGCAAAAGTAGCATTTCACAGAATGAAGAATACTCTTCGCAATATACCTTTGTAAGTTGAGCTCAGAGAGCTCTTTACTGAGAGCTAAAGAGAGCCAGTCCTGATGTATGGAAGTTAATTATGGACAGTGAGAAGATTTGTGACACTTTATATGTAAACTGCAGAGACGTGGTTTCTGCAGTAGGGATCATAAAACAGATAATGAGATACACTGTGCAGTCAAGGTGTCTTGAAAACAGTTAACTCATAGATAAAATTCATTAGTTAGTCAACAGATTATCCTCTTTACATATTGAACTGTTTAGTTCTTAAGTGCTTGGATCCCCTTCTCAATATATCCCACAGTGTGTAGCAGCTGCTGACACCAGTTCTGTGTCGGTTTCTTATTCTTTTTTGGCTTTTTGCATAGTGCTCTCGTCAGGTCTTCCTTATTTTAACATGCCGTTCTTGCTGAAATTCCATTGAAATGTGACTAAAAAGCTCAACACATCAGGTATGCAGAAAAACGTCCACAAAACAACATTTCAGCTGGTGGCCTTTCTTAAACAAGTAATGAACTACATTCCTTGTTATTAGCTTGACTGCAGTCACCCCCATATTTTCACCGGGTTCTTGCTGTCTGATCATGGTTGCAATTGACAGTCATCACTTGGTTCTCACACATTTCATACTTCTCGTAGAGCATTCAGTGTATCACCCTGGTCCATGGCACATTCACTTTTTATAGTAGCCTTACCTGCAGGAAAATTAATTACTTGTGTCAACAGAGGATAATCCATATTCTTTAAGCATGTCCAAAGAAGGGTAAAACTGGAGTAATCATTTAACATAACAACAAATGAAAACATGTTAGACGATTTGACATCCTGGCATGGAGGAACAGGTTTGTGAAATGATGTACAGAATTGACATCATAACACTCAGGCCATTCCCGTAAGTGCTCTGTCTCATATTCACAGCTAATATAAGAGTTTCAATTATTCCCATAATACCAGTAGCAGTCTGATTGTTGTCCATCTTGCCTTGTCATCGAGTGTGTGTGTGTGTGAGCCAGATCACCTGGTCACTTCTCACTGCAGACCTGCTTGTCATGCATTAGTTTACCATCGGTTGGTGCAGAACCAGCCATTTTGTCTTACTGTTTGTTTCCCAATACAGCTACATGTTGTGAAGAGACTATCTAAAAGACTCCAACTACTAGGGACCTATGAAGTGATGCTTGCCACTCTGCATGACTTGTAGCTTTCACCTTTATCAACAAACTACTAGGGACCTATGAAGTGATGCATGCCACTCTGCATGACTTGTAGCTGTCTTCACCTATATCAACAAACTACTAGGGACCTATGAAGTGATGCTTGCCACTCTGCATGACATATAGCTGTCTTCACCTATATCAACAAACTACTAGGGACCTATGAAGTGATGCATGCCACTCTGCATGACTTGTAGCTGTCTTCACCTATATCAACAAACTACTAGGGATCTATGAAGTGATGCTTGCCACTCTGCATGACTTGTAGCTGTCTTCACCTATATCAACAAACTACTAGGGATCTATGAAGTGATGCTTGCCACTCTGCATGACATATAGCTGTCTTCACCTATATCAACAAACTACTAGGGATCTATGAAGTGATGCTTGCCACTCTGCATGACTTGTAGCTTTCACCTTTATCAACAAACTACTAGGGATCTATGAAGTGATGCTTGCCACTCTGCATGACTTGTAGCTTTCACTTTTATCAACAAACTGCTAGGAATCTATGAAGTGATGCTTGCCACTCTGCATGACTTGTAGCTTTCACCTATATCAACAAACTACTAGGGACCTATGAAGTGATGCTTGCCACTCTGCATGACATATAGCTGTCTTCACCTATATCAACAAACTACTAGGGACCTATGAAGTGATGCTTGCCACTCTGCATGACTTGTAGCTTTCACCTTTATCAACAAACTACTAGGGACCTATGAAGTGATGCTAGCCACTCTGCATGACTTGTAGCTGTCTTCACCTTTATCAACATGTTTTATGAGCCTGTTAAATTCACCGCCTGCGTGCAGCTGGTTTTCATCTGCTTCTTCTCAAATATAGCATATGAACTCATAAATCTAGTGCCATTTGTTTCTGTTATAGGTTGGTTCGGTCACAAGTTTTAGTTTGCTTGGCTTTTGGAGCTGACATTTTTAACAGGATGCGGCAGCAATTCTCAGGGCTAACTTCTTTTGTCATTTCACTGATACCAGGTTGTGGTCTAGTGTTGTGGTTTTCTGTATTTATCTTGCACTTCTCCTGTGGTTTGGGTGGGGTATTTGTTCATCTTTTTGCATGTTTCAGCTACACCATTTATCCCTCTCTTTCTTGGTCTTCCTTTCACCTTCCTTTCATATATTCTGCAGTAAAAAATCTTATATGCAGTTTGGTCTGGCTGCATTCTCACTAGATGGCTGAACCATTTTATTCTTTGTCTATCACTATAATCCAGACATGGTCTTATTCCAACTTTCTCTCTAATGCTGGTATTCATATCCCTGTCTCTCCTTGTGGTGTTAATGACCTTGCAGAGACAGAACATTTCACATGTAGTTATTTATTTTTTTAAATACCCTTTTCAAGTCTGATTGTACCTGAAGGTAGTTATGAAACGATTTCACTTAATACACAGAGTGGCTAGCTTCACTGGAAAGGTCACGGGTGGTGAGCATACTTTGGATCTTTTCTCCATGCCATGCCGGTGTAGTGGGTAATGAACAGGCAGACAGTTTGGCTGGATCTGCACCACTGGGTGGTCAATTGATATATGACAAGGCAGATGTGGTCAATGCCCTTTTGGAACAAGCAATGGAATCAGTAGAAAAAGAAGATTATTATGGCCTGGAGAGAATGAGGCACCTGGGTGCAACCAGGGGGTCTGGCCGGCTCACTACACTAAGAGGAAAGGCAAGATGGACTTTTAACCAGATTGTGACCGGTACCATCAGTATTTGAACTCTTTGCTGGCTGCTGAACATGAGGATGGAGCATGCATGGAAATGCCTCGAGTGCTGTAATGTCAATTCTTGACTCAACTTAATTTAATACAGACAATGACTAGGAAAGGGAGAGGAAGGTAAAAAGTATGAACAGATGCAACTGAACATTTGGACCAAAGTCTTGATCAGCTACTAAAACAATAAAAAGAAGAATTTTGAGCCAAAGCCACTAACCCAAGAGACACTAAGAGAAATAAATAAAAGGGAAACTGAAAAATTTGATTTGGAATAGGAAGTGCTGTTGTGAAACAAAATTCAAATGATTGACTGGAAGAACATTAAAATTAAAGACATTGTTCTTTAAAACAAAGAAGATAGAAATAGGAGTGGAAATATTTTTTTTTTAAATGTTAAATTAAATATATATATATTTTAGAGTTTTTTTTCCTACAACTTGCTGGTTAGGGGGCAGTGTTTATATTTTTTGCTGCCTCTAAAAATCCTGGTAACATATGCAAGCTCATTAAAAATAATTCACATTCCATATGCAGAATCATCTATATTAATCTTTTCTGCAGTGACCACAAAGACAGGGTTATACACTTGACTTTGATAAGTGTCAGGCCGCGGTATCGAATGTTCAAGCTGGGATGTTATTTGTTGTCTGTAAGTGTTGATTGTTATTGTTTGATGTCATGTATGTTTAAGGAACAACAAGTTTTTATGATGTTATTCTTCTTCTTCTTTTTCTTCTTCTTCTTCTTTTTCTCTTCCACCTTGTAACTCATTGAAGTGTCAGGGAGAGATGTAACATTCGTTTGTGAGCTCTGTCAAGAGCACTATTAAGACTGATGTTCATTTCTGTAAGGCTGTTCTTAATGCCATCACTCCATATTTTCCTAGGTCTTCCACTCGCTCTGTACCCTTTGTAACATTTAAGTGTGTCTCGTTGTGGCAGATAGTACCTGGGCATTCTTGTTAGATGTCCAAACCACTTCATTTGTTTGTTTGTTTGATGACCTGTAAGACTGTCTTTATTCCTAGAATTCTTCTGATTTCGTGATTTCGTATTCTGTCTTTCCTTGAAACTCATGCAGCTCTTTTAAGGTATTTCATCTCCGTTGTCACAATTTTACGTTCATTGGAGGATGTAAGTGTCCACGTTTGGCTCTTATAGCATAGTGTTTGCCACAAAATAGTTCTTATAAGTTTCACTTTAGTAATTGTTAAGCTAATAACATCATATGTCATTGATCCCTGGATAAGGGTGATATTCTAAAATAGGCTTCTGGGAAGACTACAAATGAAAAGAGAATTACTGAAAGAAATAAAAAAGATAATTGAAATACTTTGGCCACACTGAAAGACATAACACACTTGTAAAAATCATACTGGAGAGAAAGGTCTAAGGCAAGAGAGCGAGAGGTGGGCAACAATGCAAGTGGGAGCACAACATCAAGGGATGGACAAGCAGCAGTCTGAGGGAGTGTACAATCAAGACAATAGACAGGGCATATTGGAGATATATTCCAGCCAATCTTCATTGTGGAGATGGCACCTGATTAAGTGATGAAAAGAGACTTAACCATTTTGACACGAGGCAGTACCACTGTTTTTACCACACTCAGAGGAAAGGCAAGAGGGACATATAATCAGACTGCTACAGGCACCACTGTTATTGGAACTCCACATTGGCTGCTGAAGATGGAGACAGAGTGCTTATGGGAGTTAAGTTGAGTCAAGAATTGACAACACAGCACTCGGGGCATTTCCATGTCTTCATCTTCAGCAGCCAGCGCAGAGTTCCGATACTAATGGTACCGGTAGTAATCTGGTTAAATGTCTGTCTTCCCTTTATTCTGAGTGTAGTGAGCTGGCTAGACCCTCTAGTTACATCCAGGTGCCTCATTCTGTCTAGGCCTTAATAACCTTGTTTCTCTTCTGACTTCGTTACATGTTCCCACATCTGCCTTGTCATGTATCAATTCACCACCGAGTGGTCCAGATTTAGCCAATCTATCTGCCTGTTCATTCCCTACCATGCCAACATGGTCTGGAGAAAAGATCCAAAGTATGCCCACTACCTGTGACCTTCACAGTGAAGCTTGCCACTCTGCTCGAAGCATCCCTGTCTTCACCTTTCTCGGTATGCTCTCTGAGTTTGTTACAATTATGATATGTGTATGCATCATGTTCTCTAACATCTCTAAAGATGCAGTGACCGCCTCCACCTCCATTCTCATGCTAGATGTTATGGTATCGTATGCTTGGCTGTCCTGCACTGAAGATTTTCCATTGGCTTTCACTTAGAACACCCTGGCACTTAGTACTTATGGAAATGCCAAAGTTCTGTGATGTCTGTTCTTGTATTAACTCTTCTCAGCTCAGTTGCCAATGGAAGCATAAGTGACATCAACTAACCTTGGCATTGCCCTTAGCATAAGTATTAGGATAATAATTTGTGTCTACTTGTTGGAAAGTCTAGATACACCAGTTGGAGCAGCATGTTGTGAAAAACCATGCACAGCTCACCGTTGTTACATCGGCCAATACAGACTAGGTTTTGTCTGCCTAAACACACTAAAAAACATATTCAGGAGAAGATTGCAGTACTTATGTGCTCAATGTGCAGTGAAGATGATCTTGAAATGAACAATAACCATACGGATGCATAAAATCTTCCATTAGCCCTTTTGCCCAGAAAATCACTAGGTATTTCTATCTTTGGTAATAAATTTCCATAACTGCCAGAAACCTGGCATTTCTACAGTGACCTGACCTCAGTTAGCCTGGGTAATGCCATTGGTTGTGTTGGTGTCTGCAGAGCATTTTGGAGGTCAATATATGAATATATTTACTTGAAATAACACTGGGGCGAGGGGTGTTCTTGTGAATGAATGGCTTTTTAAAAACTATTTTGACATCATAATTTACCTGTCACATTTAGTGTTAAAAGGTCTTGTTATCACAGATGAGTCATTTGATACATTTATTTTCAAGCCATGCAAAATGTATTTCATTTGATGCTTTAGTTAATTTGTATTTATTGATTATTCCTTTTATACATTTCTCCCAAAAAAACTTTGAAAATGATCTATACATTTTATAGAATCTGTTAGTGACACGTAGGAAAGTTGGAGGGGAGGAGAGACAGAAGGAGACCGAGAGAACAGATGCTGGATAGTTTGACATCATGGCATGGAAGATCATATGTGTCAAAGTTGATTGAAGGTACACAAGACAGAAGGTTGTCATTAGATATGAGTACAAATGCTACACTGCATGAACTTTAAGAAGAAGTGACACATGCAGTATGAATTTTCAAGGATTTTTTCATGAATTTTTGCTTGTTTCTGATACTTTTTCTTTTAGCATTTGCAGGGCAAAAAATAATAATTACATAAGCTTAATTAAATTTAGGTATGATGGTGAAAGCAATAGAACTGTAGCAAGCTCTTGTTGCTTTACAAACTTTGTATCAAGTCCTAAGATAGATTGCTTACCAAATTCTGTTGTTCCGCTCTGAAGTATTAATTTTCTAAGATCCAATAAGATTGGCCAGCTTATGGTAACCCACACTGCTAGCATGTTTAGAACTTGCTGATCTGATGCTCTGTAATTGTCTCCACAATGGGACAATGGATTTCACTTAAGTAAATTTAGCTGAGTTGAGTTCGGTCAATATTTTCACATCACAGCAGTCGGGGAATTCCTATGTATGCATGCATTCATCTCAAACACTGAACTACTTCAAGTCACAAACCAAGAAACTTTAGACAATATGATAACCAAGAGAAGATGGAAATGGCTTGCCCATGTTATGAGAATGAATCCTGATATACCTGCCAAAACAGCTCTCACATGGACACCAGAGGGAAAGAGAAAACAGGGGTGCCCAAAAACAACATGGAGACAGAGATGGAAAGTGACCTGAGTGTGGCATCTTTGACATGGAAAACTGCACTGAATATTGCACAGGACATGAAAGCATGGAAAGTCCTCTCTGAAGCCTCATGTGCCACTAGGCACAATGAGAACTGATACTGATACACGCATTCATGCTAGTAACTGTCTTAAATGACAGCCATCAGTGTAGTTACATATTCCTTAAAAAAGTTTCCTGCCATTAATTATAGTTTTCTTTTTCTCAAAATTATGTCTGGCTATCTGTTGTAATTATATTTTACTCAGAAATGTGTCCTACCATCAGTTATTTTTGTATCATCCTCAGAAACACGTCTGAATCAGTTGTAGTTTTTCCATCATTTGCTTTTTAAATTATCAGTTATAATTGTATTTTTCTCTCTCAGAAATGTTCCTGTCATCAGTTGCAGTTGTATTTTCCTCAGAAATGTGTCCTGCCATCAGTTGTTGGCCAGCATGAAGCTGTCGTGGTACACGCCGATAATTCTGCTGTTGGATTCTTTCGCAAGTTTGGATTCAGTGATGACATCATCCTCAACAGTCGATGGAGGTTCGTGATTAATCTTGTTTTGCATGTAGCCACTTACATCTATCTTAAATTTATTTATTCTGTGACAGCTGGACAGATTTATTTATTCTGTGACAGCTGGACAGATTTATTTATTTACTTTTTTTTCCATTACCCATTAGGGTTTCAGTAAACAAATTAAAACATTTTAACAAAGACGGCACAAACAATAGATTGAACAATTTATTGCCTGGAACAGCACATCAATACTTTGATACAGATGTTATAGACGGGTTCTAAGAATATCATGGGTAAAGAAAAGAACAAATGCATCTAAACAACAAGAAGTAAATATTGAAGAAGGTTGGCTATTAAAGACGATACAACACAGAAAATTGAAATATTTTTGTCACTTAAAACGTCACAGAAGTTTAGAGAGAACAATAATGGAGAGGTATATGCCTGGGAAGAGAGGAAGAGGAAGGGCAAAGAGAAGATGGGTGCAGGATGTGGCAGATGATCTCTGGATGAGTGTATTGGACGCAGGACATCTTGCTTGTGATTGAGAAGTTTTCTCAACGGTTGTTATAATAGCAAGGTTCTGAAAAGGACATGCTACAGACTGACTGCCAATTTTTTGCTCTATCTTATCAGTTATATTCTGCAGTAACAATTAAATTAAATGAACTAATATATTCTTTACAACTGAAGCACAAATTAAAACACTCTCAAAAGCACTGCTTGTTTTACTAGGGCAGTAGCAGTTAGATGAAATGAAGACACATTTCTGAAGAAAATACAACTGCAACTGATGTCAGGAACATTCCTGAGTAAAATACAATTATAACTGATGATTTATCATGTCTTTCTGTTTACAAAGTTCTGGACAGAGGTAACAAATAGTGGCAGCTTCAAGAAATCTTGGATGCAGAGCAAGGATTTTCATTTTTCATTTGACTGGAACATAGGATATGTGGTGCTAGAACCATATTTGTAAAGACTGTTCTGCACTTGATAAAAGATGTGGTTTACATCATGCCAAATTGGTCACCTTGAGAAAAATTAATTGATACATTTTTTCTTTTGCTTTTTAGCCAACTTGCAGAGGCTTTCACAAACTGTACACTGATGAGCTATCTGCCTGCATTTACATGTAAGTATAGAAGTGGAAACAATGAATACCGATTCCTTATTGTCTGTGATGTTACTTTGACGTATTCAGACTTGTTCTTGGGACTTCAGATGCTGCTTCTTCTTTTCACTTGACTCTGCTTTGTCAATCAGCACCATTTTCACTTCTTCTTCTTCTCAGCTTTCATCACCGGTTGTGAACTCTTATGGTAAGTTTTGGTTGTTTGTCTAATTCTGGAATTTTAGTCTTCTTACAGAACTTGAGTTTAGCATGCACATCTGTTTTACATATCTGGCATATTTATATGCAGATTGTTGGTTCATCACATCTGAAGCAAATGCACTTATACTTTGAAAGAGACCTTCCTATTCAGTGACCCTTTACAACCTTCCTGCCTGTTGTCCCAAATACAATAGTTTACACTTTAACTTTGCATACAAATGTTTAGAGATACATTTCATCTAACGGTAGTCTGCTGATAACCTCAAGTGTATAACAAATAGTTTAAAGGTTATATATAAGGTGTGTGTTTCTGGGCCACATTTTGGAGGGGGTCAAAAGAAGATACCCATTACACCTACTGCTCCATTTATGGTCATCATCAGTTGCCTTGCTGACATGGGGGCAATCATGCCTCTCCACAATCTGCGAACTGCAACTGCATGCATCAGTTCCTGTGCTGACACACCTCCATTCCATGAACAAACAAACAAAAAGGTGTCAAGAATCTTCTCACGTTGTCTTCCTCTGTCTCTCTTTCCACAGATCTTTCCAGTGGTCACAATGTGTTTCTTTTCCCTTTTCTCATGCTGTGATAACAACAACAAAGAAAGACTATCTTCTTCTGATGTTTGTGATAAGTTGTCTTTTTGGCTGTACAATTAATTCTAAGGATTCTTCTGCAAAACCACATCCCCTTAAAAAGCGACTTATTAGTGTGTTTGCCAACATTGGATGTGTTGGGCCCAAGATCATAACTCAAAATCACAACACAACTTGCCAACCAGCATTTATGAGGATGAACACAGAAGACGAAGAATTAAAAGAATTATAATTTACGCGTATACCAGGGCTTTTCAATAATGGCTCACGAGCCAGATCTGGTCCACGTAGTTAGTGGCCTGCGGATCAGTGCCAGCCGTATTGTATTAATGATCTTGCAATTCTGGGGTTTGGACCTCTGGTCCGTGATGATTCCTATTTTCAAAACTGTCGGCCCCTGAGTGAACTAGCTCTGGTATATAAACCCTCAGCAGCAATGTGGATTATGAAATGAAAATTCACCCACCTTGTGCAGTGTTGTAGATAGAAGATAATATAATTAATGATGCGTATGTCTTTGTGTTTGGCAGCTCATGCATTACTGCACACAGAGGCCACTAAGGACCATAACCTAGAGCTGTATGACCTGGATAAGGAAATGGAAGCTTGGTAGGTTTTAGTGAAGATTCTTAGCTCCTCGCTTTTAATCACCAGACCCACACACACACAAACAAAATGTTAGTGGTCATAATTCACCATCAGGCATGATCACCAGAATCTATAAAAAGGTATGTGTTTTGTCAGATTATACCGTCTGGCCAAGTATTCTAGATGTCAATCTGTATGTGATTTTCTTTGATTTTCTACCATCAAGTTTCCCATTAGCTACTTAGTTTTCAAGTTAGTTTTTCTTCATAGCATGCTAAAAATATCTAGACCCATCTGTTTTTTGAAGGTCTATGGTTAGAATGCCGTGGTCACTTTAAGAGAGCTAAATTCAAATCCTTAGTCAAATGATAGACATTTTTTGTGTTATGCCATGTAAAAATAAAAATCCCAACCAGTTCATGGCAAGTGCACCAGCCATGCTGCCTCAGTGCTTCAAGTTCAGGCATAAGGGGTGGTAATGCAATGTTTTAATTTCACAAGTGTGACACATTAAAACAGACCATACTAATTCAATTGCCGCGCAACATACACATTTAATACATCAAAGTGACCAGGAATTGTTGAGGAATAATTATAGAATATAGCCACAACACATAATTTTGTACGTAATTAAATATGAGTAAATAAACAGTGTGTTAGTAATTAAATATTAGTAAATAAACAGACTGTATGTTTACAAAAATTTGTAAAATGAAATAGAGCAATTTTCACTTACTAACCAAGGAAAACTGGTTAAAATATATCCAAAACCAATCACAAATGAATATGAACCACTTAATAATCTTTAAGTAAAATATAAACTCAATCTATACATTTGATTTTGTTCCAAAGAATCTTTTGAAGCATCATAACAGAGCACCATTATTTGGTAAAGAAAACTGACTCACAAAACAATAAGTATCTTCACACAAAACAAAGTTTATATAGCACTCAATTTGCCTGTAAATTTGTAGCTATGTTCCTAAATAATAAGGGGAATAGCAATAGAACTAACTGACACTGAAGAAAATTGTCTTTTCACTAATGTTTATTCTTTTTGTGCCAGCTGACTTTGCTATCGTTGTACCCTTCGCATGAGTGAGGTACACATTAGACATATCCCTCATCAAAGTTTGACTCTAGAAATGACTGAAACACATCTAATTCACAACATTATCTATCTAACTTCAGATAAATCAAATAAACACCCACATTATTTGAATTTGAGGCTTCTAAAGCCGTATATCATGTTGGCATGCATGAAGAATATAGCTTGGCGGCCATAGGCCGCCGAAAACAAACACTTTTCAACTCGACAAATCTCGCAAATATACTATATTTTCGTCTTTCAAACCACGTTTCTAAATGAGCACGCCTGATATCAGACACGAAGAACTCGAAAGGAAGTTGAAATTGAGCGGTCCGCATTTTACAACCAGTCAATGGTAGATTAAAAACCTTTACTTGTCATTTGTCGATTGGGCCGCTAGGTTAAAACAAATTAGTGCATGATGCGTTCCCTAGGACTCAAAGAGTTAAATCTCACATAGTCTCAATATATAGTGAAACAGATCTGTAGACATAGCTCTGTCACACATTCAGATCTCTTGGTTGCCAGATGTTAACTGTTTTTTGATAATTTGTTATGGTAGCATGTTGTTTCCAGTATATCTAAAATGATGACGTAAATATGCGGAATGCTAAATATAAGACAAAATTTGACTAGAAAGCTCAACAGAGGGAATGGAAACAAGGCACACACAAACATAACTGAACATTTTGACCAAAGTCTTTATCAATGGAGTAGTACTAAATACAGCACAAACTGTGACTGGAAAACTCAGCAGTGTCCGTTGACTTTTCCAGTCACAGTTTGTGTTATATTTAGCATTTCCAGTAAATGTTCTGTACTTCTTTTTTACCTTCACAGCTGTAAAGTTCGGCTGTTCGCCTGCTTCTGTAGTCTAGTCCTTTTCCAGAACCTGAATGTTACGTGTATATCCATTTTACAAATCTAACTTATTTTTATGCAGGCTGTTGATTCCTTGCCTCTTAGGCTTTTGCACTCCGACTTCGAAGGAAACTCCCAATTAGTCGACTTTTACGAAATGTTTTTGTGTAGACAATATGGGGGTGACTGCAATCAAGCTAACACCAAGGAATTCCAGTGAAATGTGACTAAAAAGCTTAATGAAACTCGGAAGCAGAAAAACGTGCACAAAACTAAACAATGTTTTGGCCAGTGGCCTTCTTTGAACAAGTAATGAGCTACACAACGGTAACAAAGAGGAGAATATTCAAATCTCTAAGGGGTGACGTGAGCAACTTTAAAAAAAAATATGATGTGTTTTGAATGAAATAAATTAGAATAAACAAAGGCTAAAAAAAAAGACACAAAGAATTAAAAGTACTATTGTTAATGAAAAATGTAATAGTAGGAATAAAAGAGTAACAGAAATACAAATGTTAATGATACATAAATGTTACTGATAAGAGATAGAATAAAGTAAAAATCTGAAATAGAAAAGATAAAATTAAATTTAAAAAATTAAAACTAAAAATCTGATAATAGTAAAACTGTTTAGATGAAGGTATGTTGGATATTGATGCCACCTGGACTAGGAACACCTAGGCTGTAGATGAGGCTATTTTCCAAACAGACGCATGGTATGATTCGCCAGCGCAAGATTTTAATGCTGTGACAGATACATCATCTTTACCTTTTTGTCTTTACTTTTGTGTAGACAGTGGGTCTGTTCTTGTTGTCCCCACAATGGCGCCCCGAAACCCACATGGAGAATGTTCTGTACACATCTAAAATCTTTCCTGTAAAATTTGTAATCTATAAGCATTTTTATCATATCAGTATATCCCACTCATTCAAAGGCCCTTTTGCAGACAATAGAAGTCATTGTTTTTGCTCTGTTGAATGCTCTGTTATTGCTCTCAGAGAATAGACATTTCTCTAAGCACACATGTTCCTTCCACTATTTCTGGTTTTTTTTTTTTTTTCTAACTCTATACCATATCTCTGCTTTAAATGTCATCTTCTTCAATTTCTGTAAATTCTGGCAGAAAGTTCTGGTTCTTCGTCTGCTTCTGGACTTTAGTCTTGTTCCAGGACTTGAGTTTTGTGTGCACATCTGTTGTACAGATGTTCTTATTTTTATTCAGATTATTGACTCCTTGCCTTTCAGGAAGACCTTGAAGGAAACCACTAATTAGTCAACTCTTATAAGACATGCTTGTTAGGGAGGCAGTGGGTCTATTCCCCCCCCCCCCCAACCCCCCACGTATATATGCCGAAACCCGCACAAGGAGCTTTAACTCTTTCAGCACCAGCCTTTCTTTAGTTTAACTCAGTGTTTCCCAAAGCATCACTACTGCCCCTGGCCCCGGAAAAGGGGCAGGGTGTGTCAGGATTTTCCAGGGGGAGGTAGTGACCTCGGTCAGATTTGTGGATGAGGGAGGGCTGGAATGGCACTATGGGGGGGGGGGGGGGGGGGGGGGGGGGGGCGGGAGCCTCTGATGCAGTTAGGGGTACTGAAAAAAAATTCAGCAACGAGTCTGCAAAGTGGATGCCTTGGTAGCTCAATCCAGAATTAGATTCAGTGACGCTTTTATGCTTGTCAAGAACTTTTGTGGTGCTTTGAAGCAAAAAGTGATGATGGTTTTCTATCAACAATAGTTACTGGAGACGAAACAAGGGTTCACTACCATGAGCCTGAAAGGAAGAGAACAAGAAATAAATGGCACAATCCCTTGTCACTGAAACCAAAGAAGTTTTGCAGGCAGTCATCAGCTCGAAGGGTTATGCCAGTTCTCTTTTGGAATGAATGAGGCATTATGGTAGAGCACTGCTGTAGAACACCAAAAGGGAAAACTGTCGCCAGTGTTACGTTTATAGATCTTCTCAATTGCTCCATCCCCATCCTCAGCAACCAGCGCAGTGTTCCATTACCATTGGTACCAGTTGTAGTCTGACTAAATATCCATCTTGCTTTCCTGTGGGAATTGCGTATATAAGTATAATTGGATGATTGCTTGTTAATGAGTTGAATCATTGTTAATCTTTTGTACTCACTGAGTTTCCTGCTCCTATGAACCATCAGGATGTATCTGAAATGGTGTGCATGTTTGAATTATGTTGTTCCAAGGATGTACAGTGACAGTTGTTTCTTGCTTCCAGCAGTCCATCTATGTTTTAAATATGCTAGATTTTTTTTAAAGGATATAAACCCTGCAAGCCGTCACTGGGAAAGATTTTTATGATTCTCCATATTCGCCTAAGGCCAGGCCACAGATCTGTGAGGAATTTGTTAGAGAGAGATAGCTGCCTCACTATCTGACTCACCACTTCTCATTAACTCACCACTTCTCATTAACCACCACTTCTCATTAACCACCACTTCTCATTAACCACCACTTCTCATTAACCACCACTTCTCATTAACCACCACTTCTCATTAACCACCACTTCTCATTAACTCATCACTTCTCATTAGATCACCACTTCTCATTAACTCACCACTTCTCATTAACTCACCACTTCTTATTAACCATCACTTCTGATTAACTCACCATTTCTCATTAACTCACCACTTCTCTTTAACCACAACTTCTCATTAACTTATCATTTCTCATTAACTCACCACTTCTCATTAACTCACCACTTCTCATTAACTCACCACTTCTCATTAACTCACAACTTCTCATTAACCACAACTTTTCATTAACTCACCACTTCTCATTAACTCACCACTTCTCATTAACCATCACTTCTGATTAACTCACCATTTCTCATTAACTCACCACTTCTCATTAACTCACCACTTCTCATTAACCATCACTTCTGATTAACTCACCACTTCTCTTTAACCACAACTTCTCATTAACTAATCATTTCTCATTAACTCACCACTTCTCATTAACTCACCACTTCTCATTAACTCACCACTTCTCATTAACTCACCACTTCTCATTAACCACAACTTCTCATTAACTCACCACTTCTCATTAACTCACCACTTCTCATTAACCACCACTTCTCATTAACTCACCGCTTCTCATTAACCATCACTTCTGATTAACTCACCACTTCTCTTTAACCACAACTTCTCATTAACTAATCATTTCTCATTAACTCACCACTTCTCATTAACTCACCACTTCTCATTAACTCACCATTTCTCATTAACTCATCACTTCTCATTAACCACCACTTCTCATTTTTTTTTTAAAATAAATAACCTATTTCTAGTTTAGAATGAGTTTACAAATAAAAAAGAAAAAACAATCAAGTTGAAATGAAAATGTTGGAATTGTATGGAGGTTTAGGCAATTCTCAGTTTCTTGCAAAATGTCCAGATTTGACCTGTATGTCTGTAAGTCTTTTGGGTTGTCTGTTAACTGGTTGGTCAATCAGTCTTGGTAGAGTGGTCAGTGATCATGAGAGAGATAAAACTATGAAGGAAGTTTTATTTGTAAGAATAATTGGGGGACATTCCTTTTATACATCTTTACTCTTATTTGCATGTGATTTTAATGATTATTCTAAGATATTACATTACAGTGAGGTTTTAAAAATGACTTTCAGTAATTTTCATTCCATTCTTCAGGCAGAAGAAAAGTAGAGAAGCTTACCTTGGACAAATGTGTTGTATGATGAGATACCGTAACGAGATACTACAGCTAAAACATATTGTATGTATAATTTTATGTCTGTAGTTACAAACACAAGTTGTTTATATAGTTACCTGTTTCAAACAGTATGTATGTTTCTGGGGCCCATAAGGGAAGCAGAGAATAGTTACAGTGTACCCTACCATGTGAAATCATAACAAATCTTGAATCCTGAAGAAGGTAGTTTGCCATTGCTTTTTTTTTCTCAGCAGTGGCTATACTGGTCAGATGGGCATAGCTATTTCATTATTCTGTGATCCTCTGCCTTCTATAGGGAAACTTAAACCCATGACCAGTATTTATCTGTCAGCTAAAAGAAGGTAGTTTGCCATGGCTTTTCTTCTTAGCAGTGGCCATACTGGTTAGGTGAGTATAGCTATTTCATTATCCTGTGATCCTCTGCCTACTAATAGGGAACTTAAAGCCATGACCAGTATATGTCTGTCAGCAACTGTGCTGAGATTCTTTAGACTCAGGCTTGAGTTAGAAGTAGAACGGAGCACTTATTGGTTATGCCCATGTGCTATGATGTTGATCTGTTGAATAAACCATAAACCATATCTGTCAACACCTTTAAAGTTCTTTCACCACCTGCTCCCATGGTTACATGTTACCCTGTAGGGCAAACAGGTACTTTACTTTGCCCCATGGTTACATGTTACCCTGTAGGGCAAACAGGTACTTTACCTTGCCCCATGGTTACATGTTACCCTGTAGGGCAAACAGGTACATTACCTTGCCACGTGGTTACATGTTACCCTGTAGGGCAAACAGGTACTTTACTTTGCCCCATGGTTACATGTTACCCTGTAGGGCAAACAGGTACTTTACTTTGCCCCATGGTTACATGTTACCCTGTAGGGCAAACAGGTACATTACCTTGCCGCGTGGTTACATGTTACCCTGTAGGGCAAACAGGTACTTTACTTTGCCCCATGGTTACATGTCACCCTGTAGGGCAAACAGGTACTTTACTTTGCCCCATGGTTACATGTTATCCTGTAGGGCAAACAGGTACTTTACTTTGCCCCATGGTGTGTTATGAGAAGCAGTAGACGAGAACTTGGTTACCGCTGGCAAAATTGGTGGAAAGAAAGCAAGAGGAAGACAGTGAGATAAATACCTGGATTGCTTGGCCACATGGAGGGGTTGAGACAAGAACACTGACTAGATCCATGATTTTGGTGATCGTGTAAGAAGGTGAAACTTGACAGCCTTCACTTACTGGCATGACACATGATCATAAAGATGACCCTTGCAAGAGATGACTAGGCAAGGTTGGCGTGTGACAAGCTCCCTCATCTGTTGAAAGTTTTAGATGAAAAGAAGAAAGAAAAAAAGCAAAACAATTATGAACAAGTCTTCTGCTTCTTCTTCACTTCCTTTTTTACCAATTCAGGTGTCGAGGGAGATTTAAGGTTCTGGTTCTCACTCTTCTGGCCACCTTAACTATTGACACATTGTGCTGTTGTAGAGTTTCTCTGATGTTATCTTTCCATCATGTTCTTGGGCTACTTTGTGCTTTACATCCTTCTCCTTTGTTGTTGCATGCCCTATGTGGTATGGCATCACAAGGCATTCTCTCTGTGTGGGCAAACCATTTGATTTGCCATCTTTGTATGTAATTTACAATTGTTTCTGTGCCAACTTGTTCTTTTATGACCTCATTTCTGATTTGATCTCTTCTGGTCACTCCTGCAGCCCTTATCAGACATCTCATTTCAGTGGTTGCTACGTTGCTTTTCAAAACAAGTCTACAATTAGTTTTACTCTTTGAGTCCCAGGGGGTTTAGCATCACAGGCCCAGGGGTTAGTGAAGAAAGTAATAAAATCGGCTCATCATGCTTTCATTGGGCTTCTAGGTAGGAACCTATGAACGTATGATGGGTTCCTTGGGACTCAAAGTGTTAATTTGAGTTGGCTGTAAGTCTGTTTAGCTCCAGCTTGCTGTGTATGGTTTTACTAGGTCATTTTTCATTCATTAGTTGGTTGCAGCTGAATAGAATCTTTGTATGTCAGAATGATGACACTGCAGTTCTAACCTCATAATCAACAGATGCCGACTACTCCAGGACAAGTGAACTATAAAATGTGAGTTCACTTTCATTGGAGCCTGAACATTATGCAGTACCTGCTGTAGAACTTGTTCTTCTCCATGGGGTATCTTGATTGGCGCAGATGTCATTGATCGACACATTCACATTTTATGTTTTTTGGGGGTCTCTGGGGGGGGGGGAAGTGGTCAAGTCGTTTGCCTCGCCCTCTGAAGGTCGTTTGTTCAATTCACGGCTGCACATTAAAATTCATGAGTGAAGTTTTTACTGATATCCCTGGGGATCGTTGCAGGAGCTATGGAGTACATGCTCTACACTGTGCTCTACCGGCAGGTGGCCAGCTGTTCTGTGGAGAGAGGCCGAGCCATATGAGATCAAACCCAGTGCAGTGAAGTTGATCCTTTTGACTTTAACCTTTTAACTTTTTTCATTTTTATCCAAGAAGGCAAGAAATCATATCTGCTACCAAAATATTGGTGTAGCGGATATAAATATATTTTTCAAAGTGAAATATTTGTCCTTTTAATTTCAACAGAGAATGTCACTTAGCATAGTATACATGAGGGCAGGATCTGACACATGAGAAAACAAAGAGTTGTCCTATCAGAAATTAGATAACACAAACGTAAAAGGATGTTTAGACATGCAGACATGCTGAGCTGAAGAGAGCAGCATAGAAGAGGACACAGCATGTGGACATAATCATATATATGACTTACAAGCCAGTCTTCTAACTGATATAATGATGAATTATATCCATAGGTCAAAACACAGGATGGGCAGCTGAGCTTGCTGAAATCTGGCCACTCATGTGGTAAAGACAAATTTATATTGGGTAAGTCATCATTATTGACATATATTTTCAGTTCATCATTGCTTTAAATTTTCAGATTGATTTGTCTCTGATAAGACGAATAAGAAGTTATACTATATCGTTTCAATTTCTTTTATAAATAATTAATTTTAACCACAAAAATCACATATGGAGTCATACATCTATTTAGGTAATAATGTAGATTAGGATAGTTAAAGTGACACAGATACTAAAACTTGAATACAGAGGGCAATTTTATGAATTAAATCTTGTTTGATTATAAAAGTGATTAACTTAATTAAGTCAGTTATATATAGTATTTGTAAAACTCTTAGCCAGTAAGTTAAATCCTACATGATTTGAAGTTGCAACCAGGTTGTCGTTTTTGCCTTTCAATTGTATGTTTGCTTTGTTGTTATCCAATATAGTTTCTTGACATAAATCATTATTTAACTTTCCTTGTAACACATATCATGGTTTGTTTAAATCTGTAATATCAAGTGGAAGATTCTGAAGATATCGACACAGAGGAGCTTCTGGCTGATTTACAAACTGAGATTGCTGCACTTTCAGCCATCAGGCAGTTTTCAACCAGGCATGGTGAGACTTATACAGAGTGTATGCCAGTTTGGCATTAGGACTTGCTGTAAATATTATTTGGTGAATGGTGCTTGTCTGACACTTTTATAGACTATTTAGAGGATGGGTCAGTGTTGTTCTGGCCACCTTTACTTCCCAGATTATTATTTTTTTTATCTATTCATTCATTGATTCAATAACCAAGATAGGTTTTTAAAACAATGGTTGCCTTGCTTTGACTTCAAATACATGAACACCCGATCAACTGGTAAGTGTTGTGTTATCACAGTCACTGTCCCTGCACTTTGGGCAATCCTGTGCTTGCTCACTCCTCTGATGCAGCTATTCCAAGATAACTCTGCTAATTGTTCTCAGTAGGTTATAAAATCTCCTATCTCAGTCTCAAAGGCAGCATAGACATGCTTGATTCCCATGTCATGGAACAGTATTAATATCAGAGATTCATAATTATTCAATAACCTAGTCTGTATAGTTTTGATGATATTGGCTCTGTCAGTGCTTTTTTCTTAATGCATTGAGCATTGCTTACTAGCCGGTTTACTCATTCATTACCTTACATGCTTGCATAATCAGGTGTATAGATCCAGGTGAAGAAGGTTATTTGAAATTTTTGAGTGCTTTCTACACATTCAGAGTGCATACTACCCGTTGTGCTAAGTGTATTGGTTACATATATAAAAGGTAATTTTTTCTGTTGTGCTAAGTGTATTGGTTACACACATAAAAGGTAATATTTTCTGTTGTGCTGAGTGTATTGGTTACATATATAAAAGGTAATATTTTCTGTTGTGCTAAGTGTATTGGTTACACACATAAAAGGTAATATTTTCTGTTGTGCTAAGTGTATTGGTTACATATATAAAAGGTAATATTTTCTGTTGTGCTAAGTGTATTGGTTACATATATAAAAGGTAATATTTTCTGTTGTGCTAAGTGTATTGGTTACATACATAAAAGGTAATATTTTCTGTTGTGCTAAGTGTATTGGTTACATACATAAAAGGTAATATTTTCTTTTGTGAATCAGTGCCCTTACACCATATAGATAGGTACATAAGTTACATGAGTACATAAGGTAGTTGCTTCACCATGATAGCACAGCAGATAATAAGCTCACCGGCTAACTTAGTGGTCCTGAGTTCAAATCTTCTTAGCATTCACTGGTTGCAAACTCTAGTGGATGGTGGAAAGTCCTGGCTATTCATCCACTTCTGGACTTTGGCCATGTTCCATACCTTGAGTTTTGTGTGCACATCCATTTTACAAATTTGGTTTATTTGTTATGCAGACTGTTAGTTCCTTGTCTTTCAGACAGATGCACCCCAACTGCAAAGGAAACACCCCTAATTAGGTGACTATTATGACATACAGGGGCAGGGAATATATCCTCCCCCCCCCCCCAACTGGAGCCCTAGAGCCCACACTCAGACATTTGTTTTTAAATGCATTTAACTTTTATTCCGCATCCTTAATGGTTCTTCAACTTTCACTAGCATATGTTGAAATTAACAAACAAACAAAAAAAAACACATTGGTTCTAAAAATATGCAGCTCTCTTTTTAAAACTGTATTATTTAGTGTTATCATTTTGTTGAGGCTTTTAAAAGCTACTGTTGCCAATGTGTATCGTATTTCTTTTTTTTTTTCATTCTCTTTTTTAATCTCTTGTAAGACCTCTGCTAAATTTGCCATTATGTCTTCAGAATATGTGTATTTTTATAAATAATTAATAACCTGACCCTTAATGCTTGTCAGGGCGTGGAAGTCGGGAACAGGGTCAGACCACGTGTGTACAAGATGGTCTGAGCTGCCCTGACATACATTCTGCCTTCTGGCAGCTAGTTAGGATTTCTCTCACTCCCTTATAGTTGGGATTTCTCTCACTCTCTGATCTTTCCATTCACTTCTCGTCCAGATGTAGGCATACATTTCTAGACTGCTCTGCTGTGGGAAAATATAATTTTTTACTGTGACTTCTTAGACTCTGTTGACCACTGAACGTCGATGAAAACCGCCTATGTTATAACCCATTCAAATTGCAAAGAATAACAAACAGCAACAGTTCTTTTTACCACCATCTAATGCTATTAGAATAATCACAGTTTATTGATGTATAAAAATGTCATCACTACTAGCCTTACTATCAGTATTAAACTAAGTCCTACGACTACTCTACCTCCCATATGGTATAGCCTCATTGAAGTTGTCTAGACTGTCCACTTGTTCTCTCGGCCAATGACTGCTCTCAGCCAGCTTACAACCCAAGCTGGTTTCCCTCACCTCACGCAGTTCACGTGACTTCTCTTGCATGTGTGCACACCATGACAGTTACATGTTTAGTGCTTTGTCTCACATTAACCCAATCTCTACCCCTAGCAGAATCTTGACATATTTACTAAATTATCAATTTTATGATTTACAAATTAACCCTGTTGTCCCAAGAAGGCTAAATATAGTCACTTTTGGTTAGGACACAGCCACATAAATGCTGATATATTGACACTTCTGCAGTGACCTGTTCTTGAAAAGCCTGCATAGTGTTTAGGAAGTCCAGATGTTAATATAATAGCTACATGTAAATACAACAGCTTTTTTAAAGCCAGACTGACTTTTCCCCGTAAGCCTCAGTGATGTAGATCACAGAGTTAACGCCATATTTACCCTATCCATATTTGTTTCAGGTCCCAGGTAATGCATTGCATTTAATGCTTTATTCTTTTTTTTTTCTTTTTTATTGATTACTGCTTTTATATATCTTTAAATAATTTAAAACAAAATTCAAAACAGGTGGATAAATTAATGTTTCCACAGTTTATTAGATCCCTATTAGTTAGTTTTAGTTAGTCTTTCCTCTTGAGCCTAGTGTGGCACATAGGGCAGAAGTCATAGCTCTCAATGTCTGGCAGTTTATTGTCACCTGTTTTAGGTCTTGGATGTTTGTTAGGCCCATGGTTAAGCCTTCCTGATGATGGTTTTATGCAGGGTCTCTCGTAGTCTTCCTTTTTTTTGTTCTCTCTCTTCTAGTTGGTGTTAATGGGAGGGCTTGAAAGGAGAGTCTTGTCTTTACCCTTCTGGTGTTAATGGGAGGGTTTGAAAGGAGAGTCTTGTCTTTACCCTTCTGGGTGCATGGCCGATACCTGTAGACATTTTGTTTTAATGAAGGATTTTTTCGAGAATTCCCCACGGGTTCATGACCCATTTGTTTAACATTTGTTAGGTTAAAGAGTTCAAGTAGATTATTCTGTTTCATACAGGACCACCTCCCTCGCCCCCTCCCCCAGTCAAACCAAACATAAGCTCACCATCTGAACCTTTCAAAGTGGACAATAAAACGGAGATCATCACAAGATTTGTCAAAGGAATGGAGGTTGACCGTTCCATCAACGTACAATACAACGTGTCTTCTATTTTAAAGGTAGGTGTTTCAGTAACAAAAAGCTTGTTTATCCAGTTTATGACATCATATTATTTAGTTTACATATTTTCAGCGAGTATATGAAGATGGTCGCGTCTGTGGCTTAGGCGTTGCGAACGCGATTTGTAATGCCGGGGCGCCAGGTTCGATTCCAGCTATGGGCTCTGTGCCTTGCGTTTGATTCGACAGTGGTATCGAGAAGCCAACTGTCCAGAAAGCAATGGCAGACTACTGGACGTAAATTTACCTAGAAAAACAACAGCCAAAAAATGCTGGGGTTGGTTCTGCAACGTCCTGTAAAGGATACGCAACTAACTTTATATGCGAATACATTTTAACATTTTATCTATTTGCTGTTATTCTAAGATTTGTTATATTTATTGTTATTCTAACATAGTTCTGTTCCTTTTTCTTCTTAAAGTGATGAGCCGCTGTGGTGTAGTGGCTAGATGCTCACCCGTGGTTCGGAAGGCCCATTCGGGTCTTGACAGAGCTGGAGTTTGTTAAAAAATGACCTTGGCTCCCAGATCGACCCAACCTTGAGTGGGTATTAGGTGCAGTCCAGGGAAGTAAAGGCAGCCGGCATGATACCACATCACCCACAAAGTGCCAATTGGTCTATAAATGATAGGTTTAACCCGATGTGCCTAATACACCTGAAAGCGTGGGAAAGGGTCCTTGACTTTTTTCTTCTTATAGTCCATGTTATATGGCATTGGTATTCATGTCTGTCTACAACCTTCTGTCTCGTGCTTTCGATCAGTTCTCACACATGACCTTCGATGCCATGATGTCAAACTTCCCAGCATCTTCTCTCTCTATCTCTCTCTGCCACTTTCCTCCTCCAGCTTTCCCATTGTAAAAATGTTACTTCGGTTTTCTCCTCCTCGTGACATGACCGGAGAATGTAGGCTGTCTTTATCTGATGTGTGCAATCAGTTCTCTTCGTGAGTTAGTGAGTTTCAAGAAATGTTCATAACTCTTTCTATCTATCCAAGGTATTCTCATCATTTGTCTATAAAGTCATATCTCTGCCACTTCCAAATAATCTGTCACTAATCATCTAACTGTGCATGTTTCACTTCCATATAGCAAGAGAGAATGTGTACAGCTGTTGAGAATTTATTATTGTAACCTTTTTTTTTTTTCCTGTTACCCAACTTTCATTTTAAAATTTTTCCAACATTTTTTTTTTAATTGTTTAACCATGGTTTCAACAGGCGCAAAATAACCCTGCCCTGAGCTCAAGGTTTGAAACAGCTCTAGGTAACCTAACCGATCCAACTATGGTAACAGAATTGTACTTCTGTGGATCGCTAGAGAAACCCAAGCGGCTGCTGCAGATTTTATCTGAAGGTTTTACAGAGGAAGGTGAGACTTTTGATGCTTGCATAGAGGTTATATGGGCATACAGACCCTTTAGACATTGAATGTGAATGAACAGAGAATACAGCTTAGACACCGTAGAATGTGAATTAACCAAGATGTACACTTTAGAAATTGTGGAATATGGATGAATGTAAAGATACAACTTAGGCAATGCGGACTGTGAATGAATGCAGAAATACAGCTTGTACATTCTGCACTATGAATTAACATTGACCTACACTTTAAACATCACAGAATGTGATGAAACATAAGACATACAACTTAGACGTTGTAGAATGTCAATTTATGCATTTACATACGATTAATATAGCTTAGACACCGTAGAATGTGAATTAACAAAGATGTAGACTTTAGAAATTGTGGAATATGGATGAATGTAAAGATACAACTTAGGCAATGCGGACTGTGAATGAATGCAGAAATACAGCTTGTACATTCTGCACTATGAATTAACATTGACCTATACTTTAAACATCACAGAATGTGATGAAACATAAGACATACAACTTAGACGTTGTAGAATGTCAATTTATGCATTTACATACGATTAATATAGCTTAGACACCGTAGAATGTGAATTAACAAAGATGTAGACTTTAGAAATTGTGGAATATGGATGAATGTAAAGATACAACTTAGGCAATGCGGACTGTGAATGAATGCAGAAATACAGCTTGTACATTCTGCACTATGAATTAACATTGACCTATACTTTAAACATCACAGAATGTGATGAAACATAGACATACAACTTAGACATTGTAGAATACCAGTTAATGCATTTACATACGACTCAGACATACTATAATGTGACAAACAAAACAGACAACTTAGTCATAAAATATGAATGAAGGGGGATATATTATTTAGATATTGTAGAATATGATTCTTCTGCTTAAAGTCCATGCATGTGTTGTTGGTAGTTATGTCTATTCACAACCTTTGTCTCGTGTACTTTCAATCAGCTTTGACACAGATGATCCTCCTTACCAAAATGTCAAACTGTCTGCATCTGTTCTCTCGGTCTCCCTCTGCCTTTCCTTCCCTCCAACTTTCCTACTGTCATGATGTACTCCAGTTTTATCCTTCTCATTACAAGACTTAAGAATGTAGATTGTATCTTTCTAATTTGGGCAATCAGTTATCTTCATGAGTCAGTTTTTTTCAACACCTTTATTACACTTTTTATCTGTCCAGTGTATTCTCATCATTCGTCTATAAAGCCACATCTCTGCAGCTTCCAAATAAGCTTTCTATAATTTACCAACTGTCCATGATTCACTTCCGTATATCAAGATAGGTTTAAGATTTCTCTTTCTTGTCTCAATTGACAAAGAAAGATTGCATAAAATATTCTTCATTTTGTAAAATTCTGCCTTTGCTTAAGCTATTCTAAATTTAACTTCTTTAATACATCTTCCATCTAATGTTATCACAGTACCCAAGTACTTAAACATATTAACTTGCTTATGGGTTGTCCCATTTACTTTGTTATTGCATCTAGGAGGATCAGTTTCTTTTTTTTTTAATTATCATTACTTCTGTTTTTCCGCTGTTCCAACTAAAGCCCATATTTTCACTTTCTGTTACAATTGTAGTTGATTCATTTGCAGTTATCAAAACTTTATTGTCAGCATATCGCAAGTTGTTAACAATATGCCCACCAACTAATATTCCTGGCATACCATGTATGGGTCTAATTATTATTTCACTGTACAAATTGAGTAAATGAGGTGATAGTACATATCTATGTCTAATGCCTTGTTTAATGTTTTGAAAAGTTCCAACTTGATTGTCAGTCCTTATGGCAGCTTCTTGTTGCCAGCATATATTGTTATTTTCTCAGATCTTTACTACCAACGTTTAAGATTTCCAAAATTCTAATAAATTTTTCTCAAGATAAATATGACATTGTTTGTGTCTTTACCTTTAACAAACTAATGAGAACAAATATTAACTTGAACAAAGCAGAGGTTGAACAGTATGACGAACCTGTGGCACAACATCAGCAAACAACTGAAAGTTTAAATCTTGAGAACATGTATCTTTCCTGTGACAGCATTGTTGCTGTACTATGGAGACATGGGACTCTCAGCTCATGGCCATAGGGAGTGTGACTAGCAAGACCTGCCCATGTTGAGACACATTTTTCAACAATTAGAACATGGGATTTGAGGACCCTTGTTGCTATCAAATATGTTTACTGTGCTTCTGTTCAGACTCCCAAGCCTCAACCCATCTGCATTAAATTTGTTTCCAACGAATCTACCTCAGTACCTGTACCATTCATGACCATCTTGCAACCATCTTTAAGTCACAATAGAGGCCGACTTCGACATCTTCTACCCATCTGTAATTAACTATAGAAGATGCCCTTAGGGACTCTCCCATCCTCTATTATCCAAGAGTTGAGTTGAGTTGAGTAAAAAATTGGCATCACAGCACTCAGGGCATTTCCTTTCATGCCCAGTCCTCATTTTCAGCAGCCAGTGCTGTTCCGATACTGGTGGTACCGGTCGCAATCTTGTTATGTCCGTCCTCTGGTTACACCCAGGTGCCTCATTCTCTCTAGGCCATAATAATCTTGTTTCTCTACTAATTCTTTTGCTTGTTTCCAAAGGGCCTTTGACCAAATCTGCCTTGTTGTGATGCCTGTTTGAAGCAATAATGATGACAAAAAAAACATGGGTATATTGATCCACAGGTTCAAATAATCAGCACATTGTGAGTGACTTGTGTTGTTGGGTTGGTTTGGTTTGCCTGACCAAACCTGAGATGTACAAATATACAAAGCATGCTGACTGGTGTACATCAGTAATATCCATCACACATGGTGCGTTGTTTGGCACTGAAGAAGTTATCCACTTTGCCACTGAGATCCCCTTTGTTGAAATTTTGTTTGAATTGGTGTTGATTTTTTGTATTGATAGTAACTGTGATTGTTTCTGCAGATTTCATTCATGGAGAATTTGGGCGAGGATTGTATTTTTCCAAGTATCCTTCAAAAGCAGCTCAGTTCTCAGTGGTAAGATATGGCCAGCTGTTTTGTCTTATGTCTGTGGAAACTATATGACAGTCTTGGATTGTAAATTGTTTCTCTGTGTATTATCTGTAGTTTTAAAAAAAAGGGGAAAAGGGGGTGCATGGGGGGTTCCATGGTTCCTTGAACTTGAATATCAAAAACTGAAAAAGATTCTTTTTGGAAATAGTAGTAAAGGAAAAAATAAAAACAATAACTAGGGAGGGGAATGCATGCACTCACTGAAGTATATGTTACCTTGTAGTAAAAATAAACTTTTTTATTTTTTTTTTAATTTTTTTTTTTTTTTTTTAAATATTTTTCTTTAAACGTTATTAGTAGTTTATCTGTTGAACCTGTTTGTTATAGAATGTGTTTGAACCTGTTTGTTATAGAATGTGTTTTTTTTTTAATTTTAAAAAAAATTATTGTTTCTTTTTCTTTAGGAAAAACATAACTATTATTGTCATGATTCTTTGATCTTAAATTTTTTTTTTTTAATGTTACAGAAACACTAAAAAAGGAAAAAAAAAAAGGTTTTGACTATAGGCATAAGTGTACTCTGTCACCATAACATATGTTATATAGTAAAGTGGTCACTTCTGTGTTGCATCTCAGCACCCGTGTTTGCACGGTGATCTTTTATAATATATTTTTTAGTCCTAGGTCTATTCTTGTTTTCCCCGTAATAGGGCCCCGGGACCCACACGGGGATGAGGAAGACTAAATGAATGTATTTGCTTTGCCCTATGTTCTTAGTATAATTATTGTCATTGGCACCTTTCTGTCTGTCCCTGTGATAGGGTTATATTGGGCTATAGGGGGGTCCTGAGAATCACAGCCCATGGTGATGGCCAGAGGAACCAACCAGCAAGACCCACTTGCTTTCAGAAACTTATTTCAAAGTTAGAGCATGGGGCTTCAGGATCATTGTTACCATCGCATGTATTTAACATGCTTCTTTTCTTCAGATGCTTAGCTCTTTACATATCTGCAATTATTTTATTAGTTTTCTCTATTCCTTTCCTGATATTTCCCCTTCATCCAGTATGTGCCGTGGCATCCTGTTCCAACAAATCAACATAATACCTGTATTATTCATGTCCTGCTTACACACATAACCAATATTGTGTCACATACGAGGCTGCCAGACATTGTGAAAAAGACAGCTTTAGTGAGGAAACCATGATATGTAAGGTTTGTGTCAGGTGGATCAGGAAGCCATGATGCTAAGAAGACGTGTAGGAGTTTGTAAACAAAGTCGTCAGACATCTTTGATTGGCGGGTCACTGGTCACAATAAGAAGTGAAGGCGTAATGGAGATTAGTCAGGTGTTGTCAATTATTTAAGCATAATGTGTTTCCCCATGAACAGGTTGGAGCCTGAAGATAATAAAATAACTAAATCATTGCAGTAAACCACAACATAATGTGCCAGCCACTTTTTTTAAGGATGAAGCGTAGAAGAGGAGAGAAAGAGGAAAAAGATGATGAGAAAAAGGGGTGAGGGAACAAAGGCAGAAAGGGGAAGATTTGAAATTCTGCTGAGATGATTTATGTGTGTACTAATGTTCTCTAACAGCTTGGCAAATTGCTTGAAGTGCGGGTAGGCTTGGGACGCATAGAAACAGTCATCAGATACGACAGGACAAGGAAGGGACCATCTGAAAGATATGACTCTATTATTGTAAGTATCTAGCTAGTTTACCTCAGTAATGGTTATTGTTAGTTGTGTAGTGTTTTCCCTCTGGGTTTTGGGTTTAAGTGTTGACAATGCAGTACTTTCAGTAAACTCCTTAGCCTTGGTTGACAGCTGGTCTAGGTGGTCGCTCAGACAGGTGGACAAGTTGAGCACTCACTGCTGGTCTGATTCAGCAGCTTCTGCACTATGTTTTTGTTCCCCGCATATTAGTGATGTTACCTTTCCTTTGGAGTAAATAAGGCAGGCTGAGTGAGGAATCATGCTATATGAACAAAATGTAGTCTACAATACTGCCCAAGTTTTGTGCTATGGAGAAAAGGAACTCCATCCCTGGTTTTAGTCATATTCTAAGCTGTCATCTTGAACTGTGAGTCCTATTCCTTTCTATAGCATGATGTAACACTATCATCTAGAAAGATGGACAAGTGCCAATAAAAAATAAACCTAAATGAAATAACATTGGAAGACACACTATCAGTGTGTCCTAACTACTGCTAGTGTGTATGTGCTGTTCTGAATCACCTGGTTCCGCCCTAGTATGCCAATCTAAAGATAGGAACTTCCCGATCTGGTTTTGCACCATAGTGGCTTTTTAGTTTGGAAGAAGGCTGAAGGCAGAGGCCTAACATAAATTACTACATAGTAGTGTCACAAAAATGACTGGACTGGGGTGTCATATATCCTAAATAAGGTCTGGAATACGCATTTTTTTTTTAAGATCATCGGCACTCAAAGTGAGATGTGCTCATATATATGTTTGAGATTAATAGTTCCTTAACAAATTAATTTTTTTTCAGCCTGTTTCATTCTGTGTCAAATATTATCTCTGTCTGATTCTCTCTCCCCTTCTCCCCTCCCCCTTTTTTCCCCTCCCTCCCTCTCTTCCTCCCTCCCCTGTCCCTCCCTGTACATACATGATTCACCTCTAGACACTTGGCAAGTAGGCGATACATTAGAACATTCGCTTCATAACAGATGTCCTGTTTTCAAACTAAGATATTGTGGTCACCCCACATACAAATTATGGACAAAAAGTAATGACAAGGGTGTTAGTTTGAGCAACAGAGAAACAGAAGCTACAACAGAAACTACAACATTTCAGAATGACATTAATCTGCTGAGCTAAACTTTAACAATTCTGTCATGATTTATTGTTGTATTTCTGACAGGTACCAGGGCGACTGTTTCACATGGGAGACCAGGGAGAGTCTGCCATGCTGTGTCAGGAATATGTTGTATTTAACGTGGACCAAGTGATGCCTGTCTGCCTGCTCTCCTACACCTATGTCCCTCGCACAGGTTTCTGAAGAATCAGTCAGGTGCTGTCTGCACGGTGAAGTCTGGCTGCAGTAAATCTCAAGCACTGTGTCTCTTGCCCTAGTTATACTTACTTACCTAATTAATTCTCTTCTACCTTAGGGTGTAGAGGTTTGCCAGAGAGATTGCCAGACGTCTTTATCTGCAGTTTTCTTTTTTTGGTTTTATTCTACTCCAGTCCTCAGCCAGGGTCTGTCAGATATTGCAAACCCTGGGTCACCCTGGTTGTCTGGCTCCTGGTTGTTGGCCTCCTATGCCTGTCATAGTTCCTGATTTTTCTTCTGTTCTGCATACATGTTGCAAACCATCGTAACTGTGACTGATCCACTCATATTTGTAATACATGGGTTTCAGTATCCTGATGTATTGTCTGATTGCCAACTTTGTCTCTTCTTGTCACTTGGACCACCTTTCTCAGATCTCTAATTTCTGAGGCCTCAAGCTCGCTTCTGTGAGCTGTTCTCATTGCCAATGATTTACACTCGTAGGTCAGGACTGGCTCATAGGTCACAGGGGGGTCTATGGGGCAATAGCCACCAGAGCTACGGAGTTCATGCTGTGTGCAGCGCTCTCGGCAGGTAGCTAGCCATTTTGTGGAGAGAGACCGAGCCATATGGGATATCACCTAGTGCAATGAAGTTGATCCTCTCAACTTTAATTTTAAACATTAACATAGGTAAAGCGGTTGGCACCCATTTTCATAATTTTCATCCTAGTTATAAATTGTTATATTTATGTGTTGGCCCTTAACTCCTTCAGTGCCAGGCAACGCACCATACACATATTGTAACTTTACACGTTGCATGACCAGTAGCAAGCCAAATGAATAGGAACACTAGGCTTTCGTGCAGGAAACCCAGGTTCGAATTTACGTTAACATTATAGACTTTTTCTGTTGGAGCAGAAATAAAATCTTTATCTTGCACAGTCCGTGGCAACAGCACTAGCCATGCAGCCCTAAATCCTCAGGCTCAGACCCTCCTTCCTTTACAGCAAAAGTGGTAAATACAGCAGAAGTGGCAAGTTATATATTGCATACATTCCTGACTTTCTTCTGCTTTATTTTCCTCTTTGATAATCCAGTCTATTAAAACTGTTTCCTTACCCCCTTCTGTGAAATATCTTTTATTATTTGACCTCGGTCAGACATAAAGATTACACTTTAAAAGGCACACATATGAAATATTTAATCTGTCAGTGACTAAGTCGTGTGTCATCTCCACAATGAAGCTGACTGCATTATATCTCTCTCTCTCTGTCTCTTGCCCTGGTTTACATTTTTCCAACTGCTTTTAATCCACCTCTTGGTGTTAACCTCTAAATGATTTCGAATGAATTTTTTAAACAGGATAATTCAGAAACTACAAAGAATTTAATTAACATGTTAATTCCTAGTTGTAAAAGAACATTAGTAAAATGCAAAATACTACAAAATAGTGTTAAAACTTACCTTGTAAGTATTTTATAGGTGGCTCTGTGAAGTGACTCCTTGGGGTAGTGAGACTTGCTACAGAGTGACCATCTTTGAAGGGGACTTAAATAGCATTGATTTGTTTTAAAATTTTAGAGTTACTCTTCTTATGTTCCTCAAATGTCACTCTGGGTCATTATGGAAAGAATTTGTCACTGTTAATAAATTATGCTTTCATTTGAAGAGAGTTTTTTTGGTTGGGTCACCCATGACCCAGTGGGTTTTTCAGGGATAAAGAGCAATGGTTGCTAGTCTACAAATCCTCCTCACTGCACACTGAACCATTCAGTCCATGAGTGACCACATCTCCTCCTGAGTTTGTCCCCCAGCATGCAGTGGCTGAAGACACTATTGGTTTACTTTTCTTTCTGCATAGCACTTTTGTTTGGCCTCACCCCTTCTGAAGTCTTGTCCCTCCAGTCTAGTCAAGAATCCAGATTCATAGTCACTTCTTATTAATGTATTCATCTTACTTCTTGTAGAGTAATCAATTTATCAGCCATCCATTGCTTGATTTCTTCTAGAAAAGCTCTGCTTGCAAGCATATCAGCTTAATTCCCCTCACAACTGCATACCCTGACACACACATACTGTTGCTAGTTGTGACTGCCTCAGAAACTCAAACGTCTAACCCACCTGTATTTTTTTCAACCATACTTACTGAGACACTGAGAAAGCATATTTGGTTGATTTGTATGTATTTCAAATTATAAGAATACTGCTGCTTGTTGACTAATACATATAAATTATGTAGTAACCATATTGCTTATTTTTTTATACAATTTACACATTTTTAGCTTGAAAACATTGTCTCTCAGTAATGCCTTTTATGCTGTATGTTTTATTTGTAATCTATATAAAAGGATTCAACAGTAGACCAGATATTGATATAAGTGAAGAGTTGAGTCTGCAGATACGCTAAATTATAGTTTATGAAGTGAGTTGACCTTATCACTTCCTCGCCATCTTTCTTTTCCTTATAAATCTCTGGTATATGTATCAGCTATTATAACTACAGATGCAGCTGAGAAAGTTTTTGTTTGCAGCAGTTTATGGTTATACAGAATTAAAGAAAGAAGGGATATTGTGAAACTGCAGTGAAGCCGAAATTATGGCAGTGCAAAATAAGACTTATGATTTGTATTCAAATGCCTCAAAGGAACAACAAATGAAGCAATACTTCTTCTTTTTAATGTTCACCAGCTGTAAACTCTGACAGAAAGTTCTTGTTGTTCCTCCACTTCTAGGCTTTGGCTTTGCATACATATCAGTTTTACATATGTGGCTTATTTGTATGCAGACTTGGTTTCTTGCCTGTCATACACATATAATCTTACATAAAATAAAACATTCTTGATTAGTTGCCTCCTACGACGTACTAGTTAAAGAGAGGGCAATAGGTCTAGTCTTTTTTTCCCCTCAGAATCTGACCCAACACCCCAGACAAGGAGAAGACAGTATAAAATTAGACTGAGATACCTTAGACAAACAACAAATACAGCAATACAAAAGCAGACAGATAGCGAATGTTGAGATACTTGGGAGAAGAAACAAAACAGATCATGAATTTTGAAATACTTAAAAGTAACAAAATGGATAATGCATGCTGAGATACTTAGGAGAAGTAACACAACAGATAACAAATGTTGGATACTTATGTAAAGTAACAAAACAGATAATAAATTTGAGATACTTAGAAGCAACAAAACAGATAATACATGTTGAGATACTTAGGAGAAGTAACAAAACAGATAATGCATTTTGAGATACTTGGGAGAAGTAACAAAACAAAATAAATATTGAGATACTTGGAAGAAATAACAAAACAGATAATGAATGTTGAGATACTTGGGAGAAGTAACAAAACAGATAATGAATTTTGAGATACTTGGGAGAAGTAGCTAGACATATATGTTGAGAGGCTTGGAAGAAGTAACATGAAAATAATGAGTGTTAAGATTCTTGGAAGAAGTAACAAAACAGGTAATGAATGTTGACATACTTGGAAGAAATAACAAAACAGATAATGAATGTTGACATACTTGGGAGAAGTAACAAAGCATATACCGAATGTTGAGATACTTGGGAGAAGTAACAAAACAGGTAATGAATGTTGATATATTTGGGAGTAGTAACTAATACAATTTCATCTACAAAACGCAGTGTCTTTGCGGGGAAAAATGAGAATTTGTTTTGTTGCTTTCCCACATCTGAGCATGCATTTTTTCCCCAGGGCTGTTACATTGCAAATTTACCCTCCTAGGTAGATCACTTCTGAAAAAGAAACTGATTTTTAACTTATAGACAGAAGTAGTAACTGCTTAACTAACGAAACGTTCCTAAATGATTTTTAATTTATTGGTTGGTTATATAGCTGCCAAGCTGAGGTTTTTTTTTTTTTTAATTTATATATGATTGATTATGTTTGGTAGTTTGGTACTTTGTAAGGTAGTTTGAAATTGTGATTGTACCTACATGATTGTATGGTACCTTGTAAGGTAGTTTGAAACTGTGATTGTGCCTACATGATTGTATATGATTGTTTTATATTTGACATTAATTACTGCACATACAAAATGTTTGGAAAATGTATAAATTAATCTGATAACAACTAATGACAAAACATTTATGAACATTTATATGAATAAAGAGAAAATATTACGTTTTTTATTTCAGTCTGTTCTTAATATCCAGTTTGTGGCACTGATTGAAATTCTCAGTATAACTTATTCATGCCATTCCTCCCTTCCACTTCACTACCACTTATACTTCAGGAGTCAAGGCTCGGTTCTTGCTCTTTTAGCCACCTTGACCAATGACTCATTGTATTGTTGTAAAGTTTTTGTTCTGTTATCTTTCCATGTTGTTTTTGGTCTGACTCAGTCTATTTATTTCCATTTTCATAATTTAGGTGAGAGTAATTAAATTTTTTTTTTTATTCTGAGAATAGATTTCCCATATGATGTAATAAGAAATTGGGTTTTGAAATGCAAACTTTTCCAAATACGAACCACAGTTCAGGAGCAAATTAAGTTCATAAGTCAAGATACCAGTGTCCTGCCAATATCAGCTGAGAAAGTAGATCACCTAAAAGGTAAAGGAGATGTGAACCAGCGTCATTGCACACTGTTATAAACCATAAGTGCTCTGCCACCAATACAGACTGCTGATAAGAATTGTCCGCCTGTATGGGCTGCAGTGAGTCGCAGCTGGATTTGAAAGCGAGCTTCTTATCGACTGCGCTAATGCAGCCCCTAGATTACCTAATAGAGTACCACAATATCAGCTCGCCTGACAACTAGGTCATCTCTTGCAAAAACGGGGGAAAAGATTTTCAGTGATTAAACATGAACATACTTATTGTTTTTTTGTCTGAACTACCAAAATCCTAGCATTAACAAAGTGATAGCTAGCATACAGAGAGTGAAATGACTGACTGACTTTCTACCCCACCAGGACATCACACAAGCGATATACACCCGATGACACAAAGTGCCACCATGTGGGTGAGGATCACCG